CAATGGCACACATTAAAAATGATATTTAGTTGCTTGCTCTCAAAAGTGCAAACAACACACATTTAAACATACTATATGCAACATATGTATAGACCTACACCCTTACATATAAGTAATATATAAATATTAATCACTGTCCATCTTGAATACATAATGAAAGGAGGAAGCTGTAGAGTTCACAAGATTAATACTATATGAAACAAAACTGACTGAATCTGGATGTTCTGCTTCAGATACCACAAAGCCACCTCCCAGAAGGTAACAAGTAAAACAGGTCATGAAGAGGATGTGTAGTGTCCCAGACAATCTTGCGGACCCTGTTCAAGCAACACTTCTATGCTATGTCCTGGATGAAAGGGAGGGAACTGCCAATAATCTTTTCAGCCATCCTCATACTCTCTGCACCGCCTCTGTGGGGCTAATGTTGGTTTTGTCTCATTTCAGGTGTGGTGAAACTGGCCATGTAGCCATCAACTGCAGCAAGACTAGTGAAGTCAACTGCTATCGGTGTGGGGAGTCAGGACACCTTGCACGGGAATGCACAATTGAGGCTACAGCTTAACTGTTTTCCTTTGTCGCCCCTCCTTTTTCTGATTGATGGTTGTATTATTTTTCTCTGAATCCTCTTCACTGGCCAAAGGTTGGCAGATAGAGGCTATTCCCAGGCCAGTGAGCTTTACTTGCTGTGTTAAAGGAGGAAAGGGGTGGAAAAATCGACTTTCTGCATTTAACTACAAAAAAATGTTTATGTTTAGTTTGGTAGAGGTGTTATGTATAATGCTTTGTTAAAGAACCCCCTTTCCGTGCCACTGGTGAATAGGGATGGATGAGTGGAAAGAGTTAAGTCAGACCAGCAAAGCCTCCCTGGGTTCCATGGAAGTGATCGCATGCAGGAGGAAATAAGCTGGAAGTGTCTGAACTTCCACAGTAATTAATTATATTACAATAATGGCCTTGGATTGTCTGACCTCAGTAACAGTTAAAACACCAAGTATTTATATCAGGCCTTACCAAAAGCATATAGCGAAGTGGGATAAACAAACAAACAAACAAACAATGCACATGCCTGTTAATGGCCACAAGAGTGAGGGAGAAATTGAAGTAACCGTAATACAATAAATGAATGTCTAATGCGAGGTAACAAGGGAATGGGAAACATTAAATATTTCAAACTAAATCAAACCCAGAACATCAGTGCTTTGAGTATACACAATTTGGAGCTATTCAGGACTTGAAAAGAACTGCATTTTCACAGAAATCAAGATGTTATTTTTGTATACTATATCACTTAGACAATTGTTGAGTTTCATTTGCTTGTAATCAGTTTTTAAAGTCAGATGGTAAAAGCAATTGAAGTCCTAGAATATAGAAATGTAATTTTAAACTATCAATAAAGCTGGAGGAGGAAGGGGAGTTTGACTGAAGTTTTTTTTGGTTTGGAGTTTATTTTTCAGCTACATAATATTACATAGATAAATGTAGAAAAAAGCTAAAGAATTGACTATTGTACTACAAATGTATAAACAAAGTTAATTCCTGTATCATTTAAACTGCAGAATTTGTTAAATATATCACTTCAGAAACAGCATTTGCATTTTTTTTCTCTTAGGTGACAACTGTGATATAATTAGGAATGCTTATTTACTCCTGTAAGTAAAGTAAGCTACCATTCAGAATGTTTAGACAAAAAAAGTGCATTGGGAACATTAAAGCTTGCAGTTTTACCACTGGTGGAATGGTGGAAGGAATACTGAAATCATAGAAAGTTTAATACTGTTGAGGACATAGACAGTATCTTTCCATTCTTCTTCTGTTTTTCAGTATCTATCTTGCTTAAATCAAACTAAAGCTATCAGTTACAACAAAGTAAAACTGCATAAAACAAAGTATAGATGCACCATGTAATTTTTATAATTTATATATTGTTTTACATAGGTGACTGAAATCAATCTTTTAGAACTGACTAGCAGTATTGTGACTTATTATCAGAACTTGATCTGTGACATTTGTTCTCTCATATAAAAATATTGGTTGCCATCATGTTTTCCTCAGAATTCAGATTTGAAAGTGCATCATGCCCTGATCAAAAGAGATCTCAACCACAGAAAAATGGTTGTTGAGGATGAGGAGGATGGAGAAGGCTATAAAGTCACTGCTAAAGAATTTCGCTTCCATCAATTCACAATCACATAAATAGCAATAGCACTATGTAGGAAATATACCACAGTGGTAATGGGAGTCTTTAACTACCCTGATATCAACAGGGAGACAAAATTCTGCAGCAAGTGGGAGATCAAACAGATTCCTAACCAACCTAGCTGACAACTTTGTCATCCAAAAGGTAGAAGAGGGAACTAGAGGGAAAACTATACTGGACCTAATCCTTATAAATAGAGAAGAAGTGATAGACAGAGTTGAACTTTGGGCCAGAGTGACCACTTCATATTGGGATTCAATATAATGCAAACACAAGCAATAGAACTGTTCTGTCCCAGCCTATGAGAGTCCTTGTTATGCTCACAAGGAGAAACCCCTCTTCCAACAAGCAGGCAGAAACCACACGAAAAAACCAACCCCTTTTATTCTCACACCTGAATCAGTCCAAGGTAAACAAACACAGTTCACAGAAACTCAGGCCTCAACATGAACGGTTGCCTTTGGCAACCAGCACCTCCCACACCTTCTCTTTTATTATGCAGCCAAGGCATGGCTTCCTAATGTCTTCTCCTTTGCCTTTGGAGGTGCCCTATTGTGTTCCTCTGTCCTCTCTTTTCTTGCCAGCATTTTCGTGCACCCTGGATGTTTCCCAATTGTTCTTCATCACTGTTCAACTCAGGCTCCCAGCACAGCTGTGTCTCAGCCTGAGCATAAGTAGAGGGGCTAGGCTCCCTGTCAGACTTAAGTCTTGGAGCTCCTCAGAGCCTTCCTCTGATGTCACTCCAGGCCCCTCATCTGATTCCTCACACTCAGCTGCCAGGTCCATTGACTGGTGAGCAATCATAAGAACAAAATCCAGCCAGTGCTTCAAAAGAGCTGATTTTAAAAAACTATCTCCTAAATGGGAAAACAATTCAAGAAGTATGTGAAACACTGAAAAATATAGCAATAGTATTTAGACATATATACTGCTTTACAGTGCTTTTACAGGCCCTCTCTAAGCGGTTGACCGTATATTGCCCTAACAATCCGGGTCCTCATTTTACTGATCTTGGAAGGCTGATTCAACCTTGAGCCAGTGAGACTTGAACTGCCAAACTGCTGGCAGTCAGCAATCAGCTAGAAGTAGCCTGCAGTACTGCATTTTAACCATTGCCAAACCAGGACTAGAAAGTGGTGCAACACCATCACTCCTTTCTTGACAAATGGTATGTCCAGCAAGTTATCCCAATAAGATACAACTGTGGAAATTCACAAGGATCCTCAATAATAGCAAACAATTTGCATGTTACTCATATTGCCTCATGTCAGTGTTAATGAGACCAGAAAAATAGCAAACAAGAATTCACTTGGACAACATCCAATTGGAAACCACTGCTCTCTAAAAAGCACAGTGAAATATGTTTGCCAAAGGACAACCTGGGTGATGGGGCAGATTGTTAGAAACATTTTCTGAGTACAGATAAAAACAACTTTGTGTCACGAATGAGAAATTGTATGTTTAGAAAAAAATGAAACAATTTCAACAAAAGAAACCCATCCCTATGGGATAATGATTTGGGGTTTTTTTCAACCTCTGCATCAAGGCTGCTTGAAATCAGTGAGAGTATTAGACTCTGCATTGCATCAGCATACTCTACAGAAGAATGTTAGGGAAATCAATGGTCTGAAGTTTAAATGACTTGGTGATTGCAACAGAAAGGTCCAGAACAACTAAATCTTACAGATGAATGAATAGCTGAAGCATTTTTGGAATGACCAAGTCAAAGCCCTGACCTTTACAGGGTTTGTAGTATGATCTGAAGCAAGCAGTTTATGCGAAGCAGCCACAGTAAAGAAAAAATCTTCAATGTGCAGGATTGGTCAACAGATACAGAGATCATTTATCTAAAGTAATTGTTGCTAAGAGAGGCCACTAAATCTAAAACTTTATGTGCTCTGTCTAGCAAAGACGTTATATACTCTATCTTGATTAATAGTCCTTAAATTTTGATTACATACCAAAGCATCTCACCACTATAGAGTGTAGTCACCCAGAGTATGACAAATGCAGCACACCTAAAAGTTGAAGATTTTGGAACACCAACATTAAATTAGTGACGAATCAGGAAACGAACCTGTTGAAAAATAGTACACTACCTATGAGAGCAGGATCCTTACTTTCGTACCCTGCGAGTTAAAAAGCTTAGAGCCATTTATCATTCAACTATATCTGAAAGTACCTTCTATTAATCCAATAACTACAGCGTTGCCTCTGTTTCAGTGATCCACGATTAGAAGCTGGATTTTTAATCAGAATGACTAGTAAAGAATTCTTGGAAACTTAAAACCTGCACTTGTTTATAAAGCTTCAACTAATAGAGATATTAAAAGCAACAACACTGCATTTTTACGCTGTTTTTTTACATGAAAGCATCTCTGATCCACACAAATACAAAAGTAGTACAAATAAAAAGTAAGTTTATAGAATACAGTAAATTTAACTTTACTTTAAAAAGGATAAAGGAGAAACAGAAACAAAGATAATCCATCGCAGGTTTTCAACAAGCAAAGGTTTTCCTTTTTCCTTTATTTAAGTTTTCTCCTAACTCCCTTTTTCAGAGGCAGGTACTTCTGTAAATCTCAGCCCGCCAATTCCCCCAAGTTTTAATTTTAACTCCGCTACTCCTGACAATCCCCGCACGGTTCGCTCTTAGGCGGGAGATGGCATATAAGGAAGTGGCCGAAAAACGAATAGGGGTCCTGCTTGGAAAACATCAATCAGTGCTAGAATGAGAGGCGATACGACGAAATCTCTTAAGCATATCAGAGCTCTTATATAAGAGTCTATATACGCTATTAGCACTTCTGCCTATTCGTGGCAGTCTACTCAAACTTCAACAGACAACCGGAAGTCGCTGTTAAGGAGTACAAGGCAGGAGAACTTAGTGCCGTCGGTTACAGATCAATCTCTTCCGGGTTGCCGTGTTTTTCAAGATACGTTTCCGGCTGGGCGTCACGTTTTGGGGTAGCGTCGTGTTCTGCCGCGGCTGCAACCATGGTGAGTGGGTGGGAGGCGAGGGTCGTGTTGGATCGTGGATTCCAGAATAGCTTCTCCTGTGCTTTGTCTTCATGACTCTTTTGACTTTCTGCTCGTTTTTATATGGCCGGGGTTAGGCATGCACATGTGAAGGAACACTCTTCTGGAAGTGCATGGGAGAGAGTCGAACAGAAGTTATCGTCCTTAGCTGTCTTACACAATTATACCATTGTATAATGGGATTAGATTTGGAGAAGATTCAAGTGTATAAGAATGAGTCTGTAAGGTCTGAAGGGAAATACAAGACTTGCAATTGAAGATTGCTTGCAGAAAATCTGTAGTTTTGTGCAGAGTTAGCAGCTCAATATAATATTTGACCTGCCAACATATAAGAGTGCAGCAAGATAAATACATATTTTTAAAACACTAATTTTGTTATGAGTGGATAGTAACTAGTGTCCAGTACTGTTTAATAATAGCCCTTGAATTCTTTAAAAAATTGTGTATAACTGGATTTTTCATAGCAATTTTATTTCACTATTCTGTGGATCACACACACTCATTAATGCTATTTTTCTTTTGGAACCAGGCTATTACTCTTTTAAAATTGCAGGAATAAAATTCATTTTGAATCCTGCAATTTATTAACTATCAACTATGTTATTTCTAGATTTAAAAAACAAACAAACCAGTTCTGTCATGAGTATCACAAGCACAATTATTTGCTTGTTTTGGATGTTTTTCATATTCCTAGTTGATGATTTTTAGTTCTGTGCACTATTATGTTCTGCTGGATACCTGATCATGTTATGGTTGACTGCTAGAATGGCATCAATCCAGTTGTCCCAATACACCGGGGGTGTCAAACTCGCAACGTCACGTGACATGTGATGTATCGCGACTTTTTTTCTATTGCCGGGAATTGGGTGGGCGCAGTTTTGCATGACACATCCGGCCCATGGGCCGGCAATTTGACACCCCTGCATTAGACCAATAGGGAATGTCTTTAGTTATTTAGTTTTTTTTATTCATTTATTTATATCCTACCCTTATTTTCAAAAATAACTCAAAGTGGTGAACATATCATGCACACCTTCCTCCTATTTTTCCTCACAACAACAACCCTGTGAGTTGAATTGAACTGAGAGAGTGGCTGGCCTATGGTCACCCAGCTGGCTTTCATGACGAAGTCAGGACTTCAACTCATGGCCATTGTTTTCTAGCTGGTGCCTTAGCCACTAGACCAAACTCCTTAGTTTCACATCAGATGTGACAGCATGAATGGCTGGAACATAAACTCACAACTCAATAATTAGTAATGATCAAATCTATTTCTGAAGAGCCACATATGTGAAATTATAATTGCAACTCTTATCACTGGAAGTATTGGATGTTCATACTGTATTAATCTAACAGGATTTTTTATTTCTTTTTGTAAAATTTCTCCAAACTTCATTTTATTAGTATTCATTTAAAACAAATAACAATTATCTCCCTTCTTTAAGGCTCGAAATGCAGAAAAGGCCATGTAAGTAAATTTGAATTTTGTTTTTTTTTTTAATTCTGAGAAATTGTCAGCCTGTTTTTTAACAGTTGAACTAATTGCTATATTTATTCTACACATGCATTTTAATGATTGAGGGAAATAACCACTATATATCTTAAATAAAATCCCACTTCCCTCCAAATACTAGTGGAGAAAACAGGATATTCACATGTATTGTAGTTTCAATGTCCTTTGATTAAGAAAATATGACTGGTTTGTAGGCCAATGTAGACCAACATGTCTTTGTGGGGAGTTGTTTTTAATCTCCATTTCCAAAGAGAAAAATAAACTTACAGAATACAAAATACAGTTTAAAAGGTGTATTGAAAGCTTAAATTTGTTGGATAATCTAGCACAGAACATATGAAAGAATTAGCCCGGTAAGATCCTGGCATTCTTTCATTTTTTTATATTTATAAGGCTTAATCACATTGTGAATTTTGTTTTTCTTTCTTCATATAATGGGAGGATTTGATATTTGTCTGTTATTTAGAATTTTATATTTAAAATATTTTTTAAGGAACAAGGACATTTTTTAAAAAACTTAAAACAATGAGGTTCTACTTTAAAAGGTTCCGACTATAATCTTAAGTCATTTTTCTATGTTTAGTAACTAAAGTCTGTACAACTTTTCAGATAATCAATGCAAACTGCTTTACAGAAATACGTTGATCTCTTTATTTACCCAGTACCAATCATCTAAATTGATGTTTGTAAATCATTTTTAAACAACAGATGTTGAACTAAATTTTCTTCCTTTTAGGACTGCTTTGGCAAGGTTTCGCCAAGCTCAGCTAGAAGAAGGAAAAGTTAAGGTATCAACATGGTTAAACATATATAAACAACTATACATTTAAATACAGAGACTACTGTCCATTGAGAAGGCATACAAATGGGCTCTTGAAAATAACATTAGCAATTCAATCTAGAAATGCAGATGTTAATCTTGGCTGATTGATATGAAATTATTTTATCTCAATTTCACCCCAAAAAGCTGGGACTGGCAAGATATTTTTCTTTGTAAATAGCCGTTCAACGTTTTCACAATATATATCACAAAGTTCCTGATTAAATTGTGGTAATGATCACTATGGTTAATGTGCTAGTGTTTGGGCAATGCAAACCATTTGAAGGAGCACTTCATAGAGCACTTCTCCCAACTTGCTCAGATTATCAAGATGGCCATACCTCTTTAAAAGGCTCAGGGTGTTGCTTTTTCCATCAGGATTATTTGTGAAATAATTTGGCTTGTGCTGATATTGTTTTGAAACTGGTTATTTAGAGACTTCTTGCTTTGTTTGTATGCATGTGGAGAATGCCCTGGCTTAATAATGTGATACCTGAACATTAAACTGAGTTCTAAAGTTAGCTGCTATGTAATGTTCTAATATATACATTTATCTTCTCTTCCCAGCTTTGTAGATGTTATATATATTTTGCATGTGCGATTTAAATGAAAGCACTATTGCAGTCATTGATTGAAATTCAATATAATAAATAAAAAAGGAACAAAATAAAATATTTAGCAATTTTCATATCTAAGCAAGATTGCTTCTGCAGATAGTCATTCTGTTCATGCTGGTGATCTTCTCGTGGCATATTCATTTTGCTAAATACGAAGCAAAATTTTATCACGAAATAGGCAACTTTAGGATTTATGACATATGCAAAATTGGTTCTAAAAAGTTTCTTCAGAACAAAGAAGATATGCAAGATTGCTTGTGTTTTAACTGTTTTTATTTTATCTCTACATCTGTCAGTGTTTAAAACTTCTTGTATGAACTACTAGACGAGTTGACTGCAGCTGAATAAAAATGAAAATAAATAAATAAGATCCCACATAATTTGTGGGACAGATCTGAAATAAGTAATATAAATCTCCATTAACTATAACAGTGGTTCTCAACCTGTGGGTCGGGACCCCATTTGGGGTCGAACGACCATTTCACGGGGGTCGCCAAACAACGCAGTCTGCCATTTTCCCCCCCTTTTCCTTAGCTGTGCTACTCCCTTTTATTCTATTGGCTTTTGAAAGCCAATAGAATAGACTCTCTTGAATAGAGTCTAATCCTATTGTCTTTCAAAAGCCAATAGGAATTGTCCAGGCTGTCTCTGCCCTGCTGAGCCCGCCAAAATCCCATTCTGCAAACGGTGCTGCACCAGTTGAGTAGTCCTCGACTTACGACCAGTTGAGTAGTCCTTGACTTACGACCAGTTGAGTAGTCCTCGACTTACGACCAGTTGGGGGTCGCGGCATTAAAAAGGTTGAGAACCACTAAACTATAACATAAGATTTGAACAATTTGGTTTTATAAAATGTTTTATAGATGGCACCTTGATCCACAAAAAATGTCTTTTATGTACCCTGACTTACAACCTAAATGTTGGAGATGTGGTTGTATGGACGCTACTTATTATCATATTTGGTGGTCGTGCAGAGAGATAAAAGCATTCTGGATTAAGATATGGTGGAATATCCAGAGAATTTTTAAAAGGAGGGTAAAATTTACTCCACAATTATTTTTGTTAGGTATAGTTACTGATTGTGACACAAAGGAGGTTATATTGATGTTAAACTTGATAACAGCTGCGAGGCTGTTAGTAGGACAATATTGGAAGAAGGAATCTTTGCCTACATTGCAGGAATGGTTTCTTAAAGTGTCTCATTTGGCGGAAATGGCAAAGATTTCGGCTTTCTTAAAGGGACAAACGCAAGAGAAATTTCTTGCTGTTTGGGATAAATGGATAAAATTCATACAATTTAAATTTGATATAAAAAATATTATATAGTTTTTTCATAATTTTTAACTTATATATATATATATATTTTCTATTTTATATTCTTTTTTTATAAATTTTTTTAACTTTTTCTTTAATTAAGCCTATATTCTGCTCTGGGAGGTCCTGGGGGGGGAAGGGGGGGTTTGGGTAGGGGTGGGGGAAGGGGGGTTTTGTTGGGTAATGTTTGTTTTTTATTTGTATATGTTTTTTGTTTTTGTATTGTTTCTTATTTTTTGTAAAATTTATAAAACTCTTTAATAAAAAAAATAAAAAAAAACAAAATGTTCAAGTAAAAATTGAGAATGATGCACAGGAAGTTTCTAATAATGTAGACTAGTCTCTTGTAGAGCAGCCTTTGTTTCAGTACTGTAAGCCAAAGTCATGTGCTTTATAGAAATCAAGCATCTCTGAAACACTCAACATTCTGATAAATTTATTTTTTGAAACCAACTAGAGATAGTCATATGTTTTCACTTTCAACTCAATAATTTTCTTAGCAGAAAATCAGCTATTTGACATTTTGATCTATGCATAAAAATTAAAATTGAGAATCACATGGCTGTCCATTGATACAGTATTCTATCATCACGGGTTGAACTCAGTGTCATACCCATATCATTAGATAGCCATGTGATCCTTAATTTTAACATTTATGCAACAAAGTTTTCTTTCAATTGATTGTTAAGTTAATATAGCTATTATGTTTCTATCCAACCTGTCATGGATGTAAGAAAGTATATACATCAGCTATGTAAGTAAACAAAAATAAGTTATTGGAAAGTACATAGCTTAATGCTAGGATAGTGGTAATGCATTTGCTTGTTTCAATAGGAAAGAAGACCTTTCCTTGCATCAGAATGCAATGAATTGCCCAAAGCTGAGAAATGGAGACGACAGGTATTTTTCTTTTGAGATCATGTATCAAATTTAAATCTGTAAAATTAAGTTTGTTTGTATATTTTTACTGGTAGTCCTTGAGTTATGACTAATTGTTCAGAGACCATTCAAAGTTGTGCCGGTGCTGAATGAAGAGACTTACAACTGGTCCTCAAAGTTCTGGCTGTTGTAGCGTCTCTGTGATTACACGAACAAAATTAAAGCACTTGTCAACGAGCTTGCACTTGTGATTGGTTGCAGCATTCCATGCCTATGTGATCACCATTTGTGACTTTCTCTGTTGGTTTCCCACAAGCAAAGTCAATGGGGAAGCTGGCAGGGAAGGCTGCAAGCCACTCAGATAAGTCTTCCCTATCCCCAGCCTTCACTCACATCACCACACCTTCCTTTCTGCCTCTTTGCTTGCATTTACCCTGTGCCCTCTGTCCCCAACCTTGCTCGCAGGTTCCTATGCACGCATCTCGCATCCTCTTTCTCCAGCCTTTTTGCACTCACACGGACCTCACACACTCTTTCTTTGGTTTTCCTGTGCCATCTTGCCCCAGCCTCCTTAAGCTTCACGTACTCTGCATCTCTTTCTTCTCTGCTCTCACATGCAACCTGCGCTTCCTTTTCCCAGCCTCCTTGCCCTCACATGCACATATGTCCCCTGTGCTCTTTTTCTCCAGCCTTCCTGAGTTTACACTGCACTGTAGTACTCCCTTGTGTGCAGCCTGTGCTGAGCCTCCTAAGGTCTTACCCCTCTCCCTGTGGCACCCTTGCCTTCTTTACTAGAAACTCCTTCCACTTCTCACTTAACGGCCCACTTGCCTGAGTTAGGACAACAACCAGAACTGCCTAGATTGCTATCACTAAGCAATGTGGTCATGTGATGTCATGCTTTAGGACCACATTGCTTTATGACAGCAATTATGGTTCCAGTTACGGTTGTAGCTCAAGGACTACCTCTACTTCCTTTTCTTTAGAGGCTTAAAGAAATATTGTTATGTCACCTACTTTGAGGTACAAAACCGCCATATTGCAGTGCACTATTGGGAAGTGAAAAAAATGTAAGTATTTAAAATATCATTAGATCCAAGGGTGTCTGCTCTGTGTACACAAATTTGTTAAGAGAACAGATACTTCAGACATGACATAAACACAAGTGATATAAGAAAGCCATATTATTTTATACATAGGGAAGATGAACAAATAGATGAATTAAATAGCTTAATTTATGGGAGAGAGGTCTTGTGGTTAAAGTACAGTAAAATAACAAATATATTAGTTATAGTAACAACAAAAAATATTCAAGTCTGACAGATGGCATAAGATGTATGGGCAACTGCTTGATGAATTAGGTAAAATACAGATATTTTGTTTAATAAAGAAAACCAGAATAATAATTAAAAGACAGTGGCTTTGATCCAGAATTGTTTTGTATTCAAAATAAATAAAATAGGTGGATTCTATTAACACGAACTGTGTTGCATTGGACATATATTCAGTATTAACATATAAAATGTCACCTAGCTGTTCAGGTACACTAAAAGCACAAATGGCTAAAACTAAAATTTAATGTGACGTTAAAGGTATTGTTTATATTTATTCTTTCAGCCAATTCTTTTTCAATATTCAAATGGAGCAATAAAATTAAAATATAAACATTTAACTTTTGTAGTTACTGTTAGCGCTTTAAACTAAGCAGTATAAATGGGTTGAGGAAATATTTTTAATTAATGTTTAATATTTAAAATCACCTCATTTGGGTGTTATACATGTGGTCACTAAAATAATTGGCCTCCCTTCTATCAGTCAAACATTGCAGACTTTAACAAAGTGGAATAATGGTACAGATGTTAACCAGTACAGGAGGAAAGCTATGTATATGATATTTGATTATATTGCATCTGATGAAATGAGCAGCAGCTCGCAAATAAAATTTTAATAAAATTTGCTAATTGGAAAAGATGTTACCAAGCTCAGATATTAACCAAGAATTTTATAGTTCTAAACATGAGATGTCACAGTGTAAAACAGTACTTTGCTACTCTTTCGAAGAAAAGAACTAACCGTAGCTTATTGTCTCTTTTCAAAAGATTATTGGTGAAATTTCCAAGAAAGTGGCCCAAATTCAAAATGGTAAGTTCCTAATGATGGGAGTAATCTTAGTATCCTTCTGCAATTGTAGAATCTAATTTTCAGTAATATTTAAATCTGCACCTTTTCCTAGTTGTTAATTAAGAAGTATGGTACCAATTTTATGAGGGCAAATTGATGCCGGTATTCAAAAATATCTGTAAAATGTGCTCTTTTACCCTTTTCTCCCTCTATCCTCCTTGGCCTGATACTGTTCAGCAAACTTATATAAATATTTAAATTGTAATTCATCTGAGAGGATTTGCCTTTTTTATTTAAAACATACTAAAATTTTTAAATAATTTGAGGGCCATTATCCAGAAGCAGTTATTGAAAGGAGTAAAGCAATATGATAGCTCTTTTATAATTCCCAGAGATTTTCAGGATAGAAAACAATATTGTTTCGGTTTGAAAAGACCACAGGATAAACTGTATTTTCTTCTTTAAAAATAGCTGGTTTAGGTGAATTCAGAATTCGTGATTTGAATGATGAAATTAACAAACTCCTAAGAGAGAAGGGACACTGGGAGGTCCGTATAAAGGAGCTGGGAGGACCTGATTATGCAGTGAGTATGCAGTAATCCCTGTGAGGAGGTGCAAAAAGTATAAATGTATTATTCCAAAGTTGCTAATAAAATATTTGATAAAAGAACCACTCAGACAAATTGCAAGTTCAAATATTTTAGTCTCCCTGTTGAAATAATTTCTTTGACTACTCCCCTGTACAATTTGGGCAGATCCTGGTCACATCAGTTGGTTAAAATTTTGTCTACAGAGATAGATAGGGATTTTTTTTTTTTTAAATTTACGGCTCATCTCCCTTTTAAATAAAACATTTTATAGAGAATTGGCCCTAAAATGCTTGACCATGAAGGAAAAGAAGTTCCAGGAAACAGAGGTTATAAATACTTTGGAGCAGCTAAAGACCTACCTGGCGTTCGAGAGCTTTTTGAAAAAGAACGTAAGTATCTGCATGTTGATTGGACTATTACTGTAATGGTAATACATTGCATGTAAATGTTTGTGTGCTTAAAGTTCTTTTAAGATAAAATGTAGGTAATTTATTTTCCTGTTTTTTGATCTTGTAAAGCCAGAGTTGTTTTAGAAATGAATGAAATTTAATCAATTAATCAGTCAATCTTGTCTTTACATTCCTTGGCCCACCATATAATGTTAAGCATGATTACAATAGTTTATCTGCTCCGGTGCAGAGAATCAATATGGGCAGACCCTGTATTAAGAAAGTCAGATTTACAGACAACCCATACTTAACAACGGGCTGCCTATTATTAAAAATGTTCTTACTCGAGCTGATGAACCACTGAAGCTACACAGTTTTCTTATTTGTTTGTTTGGGGGGTTTTTTTGCATTTCTGAATCGCCCATCTCCCTCAAAGAGGAACTATACAATAAAACGTCAAAATATAAAAAATAGTATATAAAAATGATTAAGCTAGAATTAAAATTTTAGAAGGAGGCAAGAATTATTAAGACCTGTTAAAAGTTAATTAAAAAGGTGAAGGGAGGATTCTCGGGGCCCCAAACAGCCCCATGGCTATATATTCCTTTGAGCTACTCCTGTGAGGTCACAGAGCCATGTTTTAACTCTTTTTCGGAAGTCCAGGAGAGCGGAGGCCTGTCTCACCTCCAGCGGAAGAAAATATTCCACAGGGCAGGGGCAATGGCAGAGAAAGCTCTCTTTGTAGACCCCGCCAATTGGAGTGTGTTAACTGATGGGGTCTGCAACATATCTTCCCTGCCTGGCCTGCTGGTGGGCTAATGTGATGGGACAAATGCACTTCCATAGATAGCCTGGCCTCGTGCCATGTAGGGCTTTATAAGACAAAACCAAAGCCTTGAATTGGATCCAGAAGCAAACTGGCACTCAGTGCAGTTTGTGGAACACAAGTGTTACATGTGCCCTTCTCTGAGCATCCAATATAGCTTGTGCAGCTGCATTCTGCACCAGCTGAAGATTATAGATACTTTTCAAGGATGGCCCCTTGAATGACTGAGTGGAGAGCCTCCCTATCTGGGAAAGGATGCATCTGGCCCACAACACAGAGTTTGTGGGTATTAAAAATGCACAGTTTCAGGGGTTCATAAAAATATTGCATGGCTTCAGCAGTTCATCAGCTCAAAAAAGGAGAATGCTGTCCTTGTTCATAGGTACAAATTCCAACTTATGTACAAATTTGAGTTAAAGACAGAGTTAGGAACGGAATGTATTCTTAACCCAAGGAATGCCTGTAATGTTATCTTTTATTTTACTTCTTATCTCTTCCACAATATAAATATATAAATTCCATAATAAATAATTGGTGCCTTTCTGGACTATTTCAAAATGATTATAACCAAATTTGTCAAATGTGTATGGAGATTCTCAGTCATTCAGGACATGGTTGTCCCAAAGATGCTTTTCAAAAGGCAACTGGAATTTCTTGCTTTTTTCCTTGAAAATGTTTCACTTCTCATCCAGAAGCTTCTTCAGTTCAGTTTTTCAGTTCTTCAATTTAACAAATATAAGACACCGTGCATTTAAAAATGGGAAGGTTTCTATGAAATAGCATGGGTGGTGCAACATCTTAATTCTTTTTTAGATAACTTCAGGTTATGATAAAATGATAGAACATGGGTATCTATATAACAGTAGCAAACACAGCAGCTGCACTATTCAAATCATCCAAAAAGAAGAGAGTTTGATTGTATCTTGAGAAGAGACTCAAGTAAAAATAAGTATAAGAAGTACTCTGTCCAAGAAGTCCTTTAGCTTGATTAAGTTGATTACAAGCACTAGTAAACTTTTAATTGAACCTGTGACCTAAAATTTGCTCGTTTATGCTTCTGTTTTATTTTTTGGAAACGATTTAATTTGTTCCATTAGCCCTTCCTCCTCCACGGAAAACTCGAGCTGAACTCATGAAAGCTATTGATGCAGAATACTATGGCTACAGAGATGAGGATGATGGTGTCCTCGAACCACTGGAACAGGAACATGAAAAAAAAGGTATAGGAAATAACTGTTGGCTTTTTGATAATAGCATTTATTCTGGGTTTTGGTAGCCAGAAATGACTTGTATTAAATATTCCAGTTCTTGAATATGAGCTTATAGCTGTATTCTGTGAGATTCAGTCTTCCTCTTACTCCATGGTACTCCAGGGATCTCCTCTGTTACTTAACCACTTGGAGGACTCAACTAAAAGCAAGATCAGTTGGGAGAAATCGTATCAAGAGCTTTGGCTGTTTTATGTTCCAGACATTGATCAGATTCATAACAAAATTGGCTACCAAATTGTTGTATTCTCTATTGCAGGTTGCTAGATAACTTTCTAAAAGAATTATAAATGCTAGGAATTTAAACTCAAATTTTTTGCATTTAAAGTATGTACGACCATCATGTCCCATTCTAAAAAGTAAAGTACTTTTGGAATCTGTTGAAAGTTCATTTGATAATTTAGAAATCAGATTATTCATCAGATTTTGAATAATCATGTCACTCACTGTCATTAGCTTTACTGGCATCTTGCAGTAAGACTTGCATTAGCGTGAAGCAGTGATAGCTTTAATCTGCAACTTCTATGTATTTTTAGCAAGATGTCAAAGCACAAATAGTTCTTAACTCCCATGTATGAGCAGAATACTCCATTCCACAAAAAGATGAGGCTCAGCTGTAGTAACAGAAAACTCCTTAGAACACGGGTGTCAAACTCGCGACGTCAAGTGACGTGTCGTGATGTATTGCAACATTTTTCCCATTGCCGGCAATGGGGTGGGCGCGGTTTTGGCGTGACGCATCCGGCCCACGGGCTGGCAGTTTGACACCCCTGCCTTAGAACACTCCAGAGTTCATTAGTCTCCAGTGAGTTAAAGTTCTTAATGGAGCTTTCTATTTTCAGTTTTTCATGGGAATGATTTATCTGTGAGAGTATTCTGCCAACTCTTAAACAAAAATTTATCTTGATCACCAAAAATTAAATTGAGAGTACACTTCCTAAACATTTTGGAAATCATTAAATCCCCAACTGCTCCTGTTGATAAGACACCAACATTAGATGTCCCCCCAATACACTAAATTTAGAAGGAGACAATGTAAGCACAATCAATTTAAAGGTCACTTCAGATATACAAAGAAGTGTTGGGTAGTAGATAGCGGTACATCAGCAGAATCTCAATATCTTGATGGTTTATCCCAGATGTATATGTCCAGATTTTCAAATAGAATTTTTCAGTAGAGGTATAAATTCCAAAAGCTTACTACTACTTCATCTTTTCATTCAATGGATCATGCACATTGCTGCATTTTGAAAAGAATTGCTTTAAGTAGACTGAAAATGTCCTCACTCAGCTGAGAGTGAGCCAGACCCACTTATTCATTCATGATTAAATTGTGAGTTAAGGGATTCTTACTAATTACTACACTGGATGGAGAAGTAGCATTTTATGACCAAACGGACCTATCTTAAATAAGTAGGAAGCTCTTGGTCTTCCTGAAGCACTCGCAAGCGGTAGAATTTCTATCCTACAGAAAACCTGTTAAGACTTAAAGCAAGCAAATAGTCTTGGTCCCCGACTGCTGATAGCTCCCTGCAAGCCTATCTCTGTATTCACTGTTCTTTTCTTTGTTATTGGGATACCAAGAAAACAAATAGTTTCTTCATTGTTCCAAGGAGAACATGAAGTTGTCATTCTACCTCAGTGGTTCTCAACCTGTGGGTCGGGACCCCATTTGGGGTCGAACAACCATTTCACGGGGGTCGCCAAACAAGGCTGTCCGCCATTTTTCCCCCTTTTGTTTGGCCATGCCCCTGGCACCCGGTGATGTATAAGTGGTTGGGGGTCACCACAACATGGGGAACTGTATTATGGGGTCGTGGCATTAGAAAGGTTGAGAACCACTGTTCTACCTGAAGGTGCAGCTCCCCCACTAATACAACCCACAGCGTAGTGGTTTAGATGTCAGATTAGCAGTGGGGAAATTCAGCTTGTGGTCTGCCTTCAGCCATGGAATTCACTGGGTGACTTTGGGTCTGTCACTTTCTCTTAGCTCAACCTATTTCACAGTATTTTTGTTATGGAAAAAAATTATGTATGTATGTATGTATGTATTTCCCGCCTTTATTATTTTTACAAAAAACTCAAGGCAGCAAACATATCCATCACACCTTCCTACTCCTATTTTCCCCACAACAACAACCTGTAAAATGGGTTGGGCTGAGAGTGACTGCCCCAAGGTCACCCAGTTGGCTTTCATGGCTAAGTCAGGACTTGAACTCATGGTCTCGCGCTTTCTAGCCACACACCTTACCCAGTAGACCAAACTGGTTCTCTACATTTGCATCTAGTTTTAAAACATAATCTCTTGTACCAAACATTTTCAGTACCATGGCTGATAAACAAGATTGGAAGGTTAATGACCCTTATTTTCTAGCCTAATGCCTGTATTGTATAGCCTTTTTCTGTGAAGGAGTCAGATGTTTTTAATGCAGTTTAGTACCGGTAAATGCTGCTGCCATGTATTGGTAATCCTGGCTGAATCTGCTGTCATGGTAATTAACTCCAGAACGTGGATCCTCATTTATCACATGCATACAGAGGAAATTAATGCATGTGTTTTAAAAATGAACGGGCCTAAATAAAACTAAATGACTTGAAATAAGGAAATAACTAAATTGCCTCTTTTAATTTTGTTAAAATTCTATAAGTGAATGTGAGTGATCTCCTAGCAGAACTTACTTCTTATCAACAGAGCGCTTTGCTGTGTTGCTTTTGAATTCAGAATACTGTTGCGTTTCAAAGATTTACACAGATAATAAGATGAGATGGATTTAAAGAATTGTGGAATTGGAAAGGACCCCCAGATAATCCTTGAGTTATGGCCAGTCACTTAACGACCATCCAAAGTAATGATGGAATTTTACTCATGAACCATCCTCAAATTATGACTGCTGCACTACCCCACATGATTTCAGGCAGGTGACAACTGGCTCAAATTTATGACTGATTGCAGCATCTTAGTGTCACATGATCACATTTGGCAAAAAACACCCTTTGGATAACATAGATTCAGATTTACAACCATATGATTCACTTAACGATAGTGGTGCCAGGCTTAACAACTGTAAAAACAATCTCAAAATAGAGTCCAGTCATGTTGTAACCTGAGTTTTGACTGCAACAGCTTACAACTAAAATCTGGGTTTCAATTGTGCTTGTAAATTGAGGACTTGCTGCATTTAATCCAGTCCCCTGCTAGATATAGGAATCCAGATTAAAACACTTCCAACAGATGCTTTAGATGCAGTACCTGTATAGACCACTTGAAGCACCAAGAGAAAGGGAGCTTACTTCTCTTTTGATTCTAATTCCATTTTCAGTCTACTTTAATGTTAGGATTTTTCTGCCAAAAGCTATGTTCCTATATCTTAAACCCATTATTCTATATAGGTGGCACCATGCTCAATAGTAGTAACTGTGAGAGGGACCTCGGAGTCCTAGTAGACAATCACCTAAATATGAGCCAGCAGTGTGCTGCAGCTGCCAAAAAGGCCAACACAGTGCTAGGCTGCATTAACAGAGGGATAGAATCAAGATCACGTGAAGTATTAATACCACTCTTCAATGCCTTGGTAAGGCCACACTTGGAATACTGCATCCAGTTTTGGTCACCACGATGTAAAAAAGATGTTGAGACTCTAGAAAGAGTACAGAGAAGAGCAACAAAGATGATTAGGGGACTGGAGGCTAAAACATATAAGGAACGGTTGCGAGAATTGGGTATGTCTAGTTTAACGAAGAGAAGGACAAGGGGGACATGATAGCAGTATTCCAATATCTCAGGGGCTGCCATAAAGAAGAGGGAATTAAGCTATTTTCCAAAGCACCTGAAGGCAGGACAAGAAGCAACGGGTGGAAACTAATCAAGGAGAGAAGCAACCTATAACTAAGGAGAAACTTCCTGACAGTGAGAACAATTAATCAGTGGAACAGCCTGCCTCCAGAAGCAGTAAATGCTCCAACACTGGAAGTTTTTAAGAAGAGACTGGACAGCCATTTGTCCGAAATGGTGTAGGGTTTCCTGCCTGAGCAGGGGGTTGGACTAGATAACCTCCAAAGTCCCTTCCAACTTTACTACTACTATTATTATTATATTTTGACTTTCGGATTGATAGAGAGCAGGTTTTGCTTGTACCCAGTCTTGTCAAGGCTATATGTTACCATTTCCTTTCATAGGAACTAATTTCTCGTTCCTGGATCATGCTCGTTGTCTTTCAGTCTAATCCTTCATAGTGTGGAACTCAGAATTAGATCTAATAAATTCATTTTGCAATTAACTATTATTCTAAGGTTCTTTTCACATCTATGCAAATACCTTTGTGTGCATATGTATTCTTCAGCAAAGAAATTGGCATTTGTTTTTGTTAAATTTCATTTAATTTCCTGCAGTCCATTTCTTTAAACCTATTAGTACCATTTGAGGCAGGACCGAACACTACTGAATACCTCACTGCAGTATGATGAGGAAACATTAGAAAGCTCTGAGTACAGTTTTCACTCCAGCTATGTATATTATTTCATGCCATCCAGCCCAGTATAACTAGTTTGTTAGTTATGGTGTCAGAGGATACTTTGTTAAATTTTTTGCTGAAATCAAGAAACTATGTCTGTTGAATTTACACAGTTTACTAAGGAAGTTACCCAATTAGAACATGAGATAAGACTAACCTGGTGAGACTTGTTTAAGATAAATCCAAGATCGTTGCTTTTTCAGATGCATATGGGTCAGTCTCCTTATAATTCATGCAAGAGTCTTCCGAGGTCCTCATGTGAGACTGATTTATAATTTCATGGATCTCGCCCCACTCATCTTTTTTTTTTGTTTGTTTCTTAAAAATAGGGATATGTTGTCTCCTAAACCAGACATTAGCAATCAGAAGTACTATCTGAAGGTAACGCAGACAGATTCAACCTGCTATTATGCTTCAGTGTCATTGAATCTAGCAGCTTTTGCTAGAATAAAGAGCAAAAGGGTGCGAACACCTGTCTTCAACTCCTTAAAGCAGCAGCACCTTTTCCTGGGACCACATGGCTGCCCTCTTTATCTGCTACCTGATCTTAGACAATAAAACATTTGGCCTAAGGAATTGAAAAATGGTGCTAGATTCATGTTCCCACATCTTCCAAATAATCTTTTTGTCTTCAAATCTAAAATGCTTAAGCCTGTATAGATGCTCCTTCTCTAATTTTAACCAAGATGCATTGTACTGTTTCATCAAGTTAATTAATTTGGATTTCTAAGCAGACATGGGTATTTTTAATATTCAGTGCAACTCCTCCATTTCTGCTGTTTCTCTTCCTTTTGAAAAAAAAAAGGTACATAATGCCAATTATGTACCTTTCAACTGTTACTTTATTGGGTCTCAATTATACCCAGTATATCATATTTTCCTTCTTTTATTAAAAGTTCTTGTTCATTTGGTATATTATGTTCTTTCAGATATTCACTGATTTGTTTAATAGGTCCTATTAAGAGAAACTCTTCTAGCTCTGCAAGGCTTTAAATGATCTCTGAAAACTTACATTTTTTTCTCCAAATTCTGGCATTGGCGTACCGATCTAGTTTATGTTTTGGGTTGGGTATGTTAGAGTTAGATTTATTATCACATTTACTTTTTGTTCAGTATAAGCATTTGCTTTTAAATGTATATGTCACCCAGAGTCTGTGTTGAATTGAACAACTATATAAGTCTTAATTACAAATAAAATTATAAACACCCCCCCTTTTTTTTACAGCTTACAAATGTCTTTTTCTCCAACCACCACAGTATTGATCTTTTCCCTTTTATAAGTTTTGAGTTGCACAATTGCTTATATTTTAGGGGGTAAATATAAAACTAAGCAACCCTGTGACGCGCTGGGTCATCTTTTGAAAGAAAGTTGGTACACTCTGATATGACCAGAGTGAATATTAAATATTCCCATAATCATCTACAAAGCATATATATATCATACATAGAAAAATAATTAAGGTAGCAAACAAACTTCAATAACAAGTCAATATTTACTTATCCTAAAGAGATAAACAGAATGTCCACTATAATGATGAGTAGTTGCTATATCAGTGGTGGCGAACCTATGGCACGCGTGCCAGAGGCGGCACTCAAAGCCCTCTCTGTGAGCATGCGCACCATCACCCCAGCCCTGCCTCCCCCTGCAGCCCCCTCCTCACCAGCAGCCCCCCCTGGAGGAGATTCACCCCCAAGCACGGCCCACACGGAGCCGCACAGCCAAGGACATGGCGGCCAGGCAGCAGGGACAAGACTCTGCCCTCGTGCCCCATTGCACGCAGATGATGCTGTGGGGTACGGACGGAGGGCATGGCTGCCATGGTTCTGCTGGACTGCCTGAACGATCTGCGGCGGGCCATGGAAGTGGTGGGTGGCTGGGTGGGCGGGGCAGGGGCTGGGACAGAGTGGGGTTGGGCATGGCAGGGGTGGGGCCAGTTTTGGGGCACTTGGTCTCTAAAAGGTTCGCCATCACTGTGCTATATCTTAGTAGTTTGCGGTTTTCGATACAACTTTCAAATGTGGCTATTTTGCTTTCCCAGTTATTGCAGAAGCAGTGGAAAGGTGGAAGGCAGAGAAAGCAGCACATCTCGCAAGAGGTGACAAGGAAGAGGAGGAGGAGGAGGAAGAAAACATCTATGCAGTAAATGACAACGAGGTATTATATGTTTCCAATTTTATACTATATATTATATAGTACGCATAGTAAACTATATATTGCACTATATCAGTGTTTCTCAACCTTGACAATTTTAAGGCATGTGGACTTCAACTCCCAGAATTCCACATGCCTTAAAATTGTCAAGGTTGAGAAACACTGCACTATATACTTAACAGAGTGAGTGATAAAAAGATTAACAATTAACAATGTGCAGCTACGTGAGTGATAAAAAAACATTAATTATAAATGTGCAGCTACATATTCACAATTGGACACACCTGCATTTTTCAATGCTACCTTATACACCAGTGTTTCCCAAACTTGACAATTTTAAGGCATGTGGACTTCAACTCCCAGAATTCCACAGCCAGCAACGCTGGCTGTGGAATTCTGGGAGTTGAAGTCCACATGCCTTAAAATTGTCACGTTTGGGAAACACTGTTATACACCATGAATATAATTAATTCTGATTTCTGGCTGGACTCTGGCTGAAGTGCAGTCAGGGGAGCAAGTAATTATTTATTTTGAGACAAAGTTCTAATGATTTGCTAAGCAAACTTTTAATTCAACATTTTCTCAACGCTTTGCAGTCTGATGAAGAAAATGGAACGAAAACCGATGGTGAGGATAGTCAGCAGAAGTTTATTGCTCACGTCCCAGTACCATCACAACAGGAGGTAAGGACTTGCACATGAAGGGAATACAGGAAGCATAACTTTGAAAGGTGGGGGAGGGAGGGAGGAAAAAAAAGTGAAAGGGAAGGATAAAGAAAGAGAGAGGAATTAATGAGGAAGGAAGAAAGGATATACAAGAAGTTTAACTTTGAAAGAAGTAGATTTGTGCACTAGTTGCAGCAAAACAATTAGTACATTTCGAAGTAAGAGGATTTCCTCAGAATATACTATAATAGAGCGTTGGTGGTGCAGTGGTTAGAATGCAGTACTCAGGTACTTCTGCTGGCTGCCAGCAGTTCGGCAGTTCAATTCTCACCAGCTCAAGGCTTACCCATCCTTCCCAAGTCAGTAAAATGAGGACCCAGTTTGTTGGGGGGCAAGATGATGACTCTGTAAACCACTTAGAGAGGACTGTAAAGCACTGTGAAGCGGTATAAGTCTAAGAGCTATTGCTAAATGCTATTCCTGTTGATAGTTGGGTATTCACGTACGCTTGGAAATAAAGGGAGAGATGGTAAAAATGCCACTTTCTTCATTAGGAATTTAATTCATTACTAGACAACCTCTGCCCTGTTGGGTCTTTCTTTTAAAGATCGTCTTTTTCCTAAATATAGAAAACAGAATGACCATGAGAGTAGAATGAACGTCTAACTTCCTGCTGTTGGCTTCCTCATTATGTTTTCCTTCCCTCCCTCATTGTCATTATCTTCCTTCCTTCCTTCCTTCCTTCCTTCCTTCCTTCCTTCCTTCCTTCCTTCCTTCCTTCTTTCCTTTGATATGAAAACTTGATTTGCCATTACAAGGATAGATCTGTATAATCTTTAGGCTCACTAGTGTATTAGTGAGGAAATTAGAACCTTTAAAATGTATTCATACAATGCAAACAATTAAAATGTAGGTTATCTAATTGGCAAGTTATGTTTTGATTGTTTGCATAGTATGAACACTTTTTGTAAGTGTGTTTGCAAGGTGCTGCAGTTGAACAATTTACTAATTTTTATACTCATTTCTGAAAAAATAGTATTGTAACTTGCATTGTTTTTACTAAATGAGGTTCTAGGTTCTATGGGCAAAGTAATTTTTGATCTAAGTAATTAATTCTGTTATCATGCTGTCATTTTCTTAAGTTACTTTTACTAAAGAATTTCCAATTTGCAAGTTTTCAAATTGAATGTTGCTCACTTAACAGATTGAGGAAGCTCTCGTCCGAAGAAAGAAGATGGAACTTCTTCAAAAATACGCCAGTGAAGCTCTTCTGGCTCAAAGTGAAGAAGCTAAAAGACTTCTAGGATTATAGTAATTGCTCCTTCTATTTTTGATAGTCTATCTTAAAACCACAGATAATCTTGATTCTACAGAATCAGTATCTTCTTGATTCTACTGAAATAAGACTTCGCAAGTTCTAGAATGAAAGAGGTTTTTTTTTTCCAAAATACATTTTATTACACATTTTCACTATCCTAATTTATGGGAGTTTATTCATTTTTAGCTTCCCCCTTTGAGTTCTAAATAGCCAGCCTGCTTTGAATTTATCTTTGTCTACCTACTTTCCTCTTTGTTTTTTTTTTTTTAATTTTACCTTAGTAACAACGTATCTAGTAACGGTATTTAATTTTGAATTTTCAAGAAAACTGAAATGTTCTATATAGTTAATATGGAACTAAGTGTTATGATAATGGAGAAAATACTCACTTGGTTGGGTTTTGAAATGCTGAATATTTCAGCAAGTAAAATTGTAAATACTGTTTATAAAATCTCTCATTTTTTAGTAAAACTTTATGCACATTTAATTGTTCTTTGCTTTTGTTAAAAATACTAAAATTTGTCGCTGTGAATATAGTAATTTATAAATAGTATGAATTCTAGGAATATATGAATATTAACAAGATGAATAACTGAAACAAAAAAAATCACACATTCTATGTAAAATTTTGTGTGTATGTGTACAAAAAATTAATTTTCTAGGAACAGAGGTTTATGAGTGTTTTTATCATAGGCTTTTTACAATGATATACAACTACAGTACATTATTATATAATTAGTCCAAGTCATACAGCAACATGCAATTTATATCATGTGACCCATTTTTTACTATCAAACCAACAAGTATGGATGCTAATATTTAGCAATTGTAAGACAAAACAAAATATTTTTAAATACCAGTCAAATCTGTCTTAATATACTTTATATCGTACTGACAAGAATGGAATTTTAAAATATACTTTATACAATCAGCATAGTATCCAGCTATATATAAACTTGAAGCAAAATTTCAATACTTGGAATGAGAGAAAAATAATATAATATTATAGTTTTATGCAAATGCACCTATTACTGGCAAAGCAGACATTATTGGCAAAGCTAATTCTTTAAGGTTTAAACCCTTTCCACCATAGTAAGTGAGATTGACTCTGAGAATTAGATGCACTAGAGCAGACATGTCAAACTCAAGGCCTGTGGGCCAGATGTGGCCCATGGGGCCAGCCCGGGGATGGTGAAGGACCAGCTCCGGCCCACCCCAGCCAGAGTGGGCACACGCACAGGAGGTGGTGAACATGCGATGCCCAGCAGCAGCCGCAGCCTGCCAGGTGGATCTGAGTGCTGTGGCTGCTCGGCCGACCCTCCAAGTAACAGGCAGAGGCGCAGGAGGGGAGGCACACCATTTGGCCCGCTGGATGCGCTGGGCAGCCGCCCAGGAAAGCAGGGCTAGGCAAGGCCAGGGGCTCTGGGAACTTGAGGACTGGGCCAGGTGCCTGGCCCCCAAGGCCCCAGGCAGCCTGTGCCATTCGAGGGGGCCCTACATGGCCTGGGAGGGTTGGTGAAGCTCCTCCGGTAGATTAGGCCCTGGCGCCCACCTTGGTCTCACCCCCTCCTATATTGCAAGAATATTGGAAAAGCTCAGGAGGATCTTCAGGCAACACAGCATATGTGCACACTTCAAACCCAAGAATACACTAAGACAGAAACTTGTCCACTCCAAGGATAAAGCATCCAGACACAAACTGAGCAACATGGTATATGCAGTACAGTGCAGTGAGCCATGTGCAGATCTGTACATTGGGGAAAGAAAACAACCACTCTATAAACGCACGGCACAACATAGGAAAGCAAACCCATCAAGACAAGATTCAGCAGTCCATCTGCATTTAAAAGACAAGGCCACTCTTTCGAAGACAGCAAAGTCCACATTTTTGACAGGACTGCTGGTTTGAAAGAGGGGTCAAAAAGGCCATCTATGTCAAAATTAAACAGCCCTCCTCAACAAAGGGGGAGGGATACAACATCATCTATCTCCAACAGTTTCAAGCAGGCTCCACACCCATTTGCTCTACTCAGGTGACTCTGATGACATACATAAAGCTTCAGGTGGCCTCAACGACTCTAAAAAATGCAAATGACCAGCTGTCTGCAAGGAATAAAAACCCTTCCATTCCCCACCATCCAGTCAGAGCTGAAGAAGCTTCTTGGATAAGAAGTGAAATGTCTTCAATGTTTTTCACTGAAGTCCAGTTGCCGAGTGAAAAAGCATCTTTGGGTTTACTTTCTAGTGTGAATGGTGATAATGGGAGAACCAGATACGAGTTTTGGGAAAAACTATGGTATTCTAAATAAATGCAATCCAGAGAAACATTATATTGCTAGCTGAAATGAATGGGTAGGTGTAGGTGAAACAGGTACAAAAGAAATGGGTTATTTAGAGCCTGAAGAATGAAAGAAAATGTATCTATGTTGATTTTGCAGAGATATGAGATGAGCGGAGTTTGTGGTTGTTTGCTAAATATAATAACAGTACATGATGGAAGTATGTCAGGAACGGAGAAAAAAACATCTACACATGAAGGTACAATTTATGAAGAAGAGTCTTTCCAAGTAACAGTCAACACTTGGTTAGAACTAGATAAGGTTCGATAGCAATCAAGGTAGGGTGGGACTTAGTTCATTTATGGCTACATCTAAACTGATCCCTCTTTTTACCCCTCCCCCAGTCTGCCAGTCCTACAACAACATATATGTAAATAAATAAAATGGTTAATGACTTGTTCAACTCTAGGCAGGGAATAAAACAAGGATGTGTGATGTTCATTACTTGCTGAATGTATTTATAGATAAATGTACCAGAGATGCTTATAGTGACAATAGATATGCATTGATTCGGTCTATAAGTGTACTTTGTATGCAGATAATACCAGGTTGTTGACTGAGAAACTGAACATATATTAGTATTGTATGATACAATGAGGAGCATAAATTTCAAAAATAATACAATATAAAGAGAAATGAGAGAAAAACAGTGATTACCAGTTTTATATAAATGATAAAAATAGTAAATGAAATTGTGTAACTTGGAAAGATGGGCAAAGACTTTAATATGCAAACGCTATTCAAGAATACACTTTGCATATATGGGTTACAATTTATACTAATAAGTTGGCAAGCAAGCCTAAGCTATAGTGATCCCACTTATAAAGGAGTTTACATCCACTCTGATAGTTCTTGTTCTACTTCTCTGTGACTTTCCAGTATCTGACTTTCCTGTTGGTCTTCGTCATCATTATCCCTCAGACACATCATTTCCTCATTTTTATATGGTGGGGGTTCTCCTAAAGGCATTCTTTTAGTAATGGCAATTTCTATTAATCTCTGTACCAGTCCTCTTATACAGGGGATTATGCAGCAGCCCAAGGCTACTAAAACTCCAAAAAGGGCAATAAAAGAAGTGATGTGGCACCAGTATATTCTTCCATTTCCCAAACCATGATTCTAATATTCCTGTTATTGAAGTGTCCGCTCCAGAGTTGGTAGCCAATTCTTCTGATAAAATAGTTAACCCTTGCAAAGCCCCAGTTATAGTTCCATCAGGAGCTGTGTTATTAGGAATGAAAGTACAGCATCCTTTTTCTCCTACCATTACAGAAACACCTTTCTCTGCTAACAACATCTCTAATGCTAATCGGTTCTCCCAGGCCATTCGATTTGTATGTTTGATTAGCCTGTATACACCTTAAATCTATCCATTCTACATCCCGTGGAATTTGAATATCACTATCTCCCAATGTAACTGAATTTAGGTCAGGTTGTGTTTCAGCTGTCTAAATTTCAATTTCTCCTATAATTGGGTATGTGGGATAAAGAGTCTCTGTTGATGTCAGACCTTTACATATTTTTAACCAATCCTCCACTATTACGATGTTACAAGGTCCTTCACACAGGGACAGACTGGTCCACAATCACAACAGTGATAACAACAACAACATTCAGTAACTCAATTGCAATCACAGAACCAACACATTATGTAGAACAGTGTTTCTCAACCTTGACAATTTTAAGGCATGTGGACTTCAACTCCCAGAATTCCACAGCCAGCATTGCTGGCTGTGGAATTCTGGGAGTTGAAGTCCATATGCCTTAAAATTGTCAAGGTTGAGAAACACTGATGTAGAAGTTTGTAGAATGTGGAGGTCCACAGCTTCTTCTGGAATCCTTGGATGGAATAACATAGGTCACCACTCAGATCAAAACAGCCAAAAAGCTGCTACTCCTGCAATGAGAAAAATCACAAACAAACCCAGGCTATTATTTCTTCACCCCCACAATGACCACATCAATTTTTGGTAATTTTTATTCACAGTGGGTCTTCTCCAGAAATTATTTTCCACTCTTTTGGCTCCACCCTTTTTCTTTCTTTCAAACTGCTATTTCAGTTGTTAGGAGGACTTGGTAGGGATGACCCCAGGCTGAAGTAAGTTTTTCTTCATACCAGCTTTCTATCAGGACCCAATCACCAGGCTAAAACTTGTGGACAGCAAACTCCAATGGAGGTGTCTGGGCTAACAATCCTTGCTTCCTGAAAAAAGACAAAGCAGAAAACAGCCCCAGTATCTAATTCTTTATAAACATGTCATTAGTTTATAATTTCCCACCTGAGGTAATTTAAAATCAACTTGAATGCATTGAAATAGCCTCACCACTAGATGTTATAGAGCATTTTATGTATTTGTTTACATATCATATATTAACCAACCATAACCATAGAAAAGTATCAACCATCCCTCCCTTCAGTGGCTGCTTCTGTGTCCTAGCTATTGCTTTATTCAACATCTGTCTCCCATCTGGCAACATCCACCTCCCACTTTCTTCTACTTCCTATTTTCATTATGTCTCTCTTTTCCCCCCCAACTACTTTGCTATGAACAAGTGTTTACTTCCTTTCGGCTTTCTGATTTAAAATTACCCACACTTGATAAGAAATGCTAACCCATTTTTTCCAAGCCAGGGGTAATATATATATAAAAAATCAATTGGTGTTAATTTGATTCAGGTTCTAAAATGGATTCAACACAAGCATTCATTTTTGTGAAAAATCTCTGATTTTCTGATATAAAAATCGTTTGGCCAATTGTTAATGAAGTTAACAGAATCTTTCTTTACTGCAATTTCTGCTTTCAGGTAGTGAGTCAGATTTCCATATACTTATTTTATTAACAATTTTATCTAATTTAGGTAAAATAGCCTTGCTCTCTACCTTTTTAGCCAAAATCCAGGATTCCTTCTTTTGCTTTTCCGACCAACGGGGGCAAAATTGCAAAGAGGAGAAAATGACAAGCCCCTTTATACAAACTGTCCACCCCCACCCGAAAAAAGAAAGGCGACTAGTTGTGTAACCATGTGTAAAGCGAAGCGGGCGGGGAGCTCTACGGCTGCCCAGGCGATTTCTCGCTCTCTCTCTCAGCGATCCCAGTAAACACGCCAGAGGCTACGAAGGTATCTACGCGAATGAAGCAAGTCGGTGCCTGGCAGGCTCCACCTCTTGGATGACGTAGCAAAAGGGGCGGGCCCGGAGAAAAGCATTAAGAGAAGCCGGCGTCGGTTTTCTGGCCGTGATGACAATGAGGTGCTAGTTGTTCTTCTGAGCCCTAGGCAGGAGGGCTGCCTGGGTCGTCGGCGAGCCGGCGCCAGGAACGGGCGCTATGCAAGGCCTGCTGCCCCTCCTCTGCCGGCGTCTTCAGAGAGCCCTGGCTGCGGGAGCTCCGGGGAGGGTCAGGCTTTGCCATGAGGCTCCGGCTCCCGCAGCTTCCGGAGGGAGCAAAGGCAGCGCCCAGGTAAGAGGGGCTGCCCGCTTTTCTCGCCCCGGGATGCGGTGAGGGAGAGCCTTGCGAAGCTCTTTCCCCTGTCGCTCTCTTGAACCCCGACATCCCCAACCCAAGCAAGCCCCGAGAGTTACTGTAACGTATAGCAGGAGCTCTTTCGCTCCGTACTGGGGTTTCTTTCAAACCCGAGTAGAGGGGGAGGGGGCAGGAGAAAACCCTGGCGTCATCTGCTTTCAGAAGACTCTGCCGTGCGCGGGCAGTACTGCTTTGATGAGCGCTTCGCGCGCTTTCATTAGTCTGAATGCCGGGTATGGGGGGGGGGGGAAAGAAACCCTAAAACACCGAAGGTCTTCCCGTTGGAGAACTTTTCTTGTCGTGTTCATTTCCTCGCTTACTGCCTCCCCATTTTGGAGGAAACGGGTCAGTGAGGGAAGGCCGAATTTGTTACTTTCCAGCTGTGGCTTTCTCAGAAAAGGGGCTTCACGCCTTTTTCAAGCAGCCAGCAATGGGTTTGGGGACCCTGTTTTTTACTTTTTGCTCAGGAGCAGCCTTTGTGTTCCTGTCAAATTGGTTACGGATGATTGCTTCTGCTGTCAGTTTTCTTACACTGTTGTTCATTCAACATCAGCTGGCTTGACTTTTGCTGCAGGAAAAGTCTACATTCCTGACCAAATAATGAGATGGTACTCGTGGGTAGTGTAAAACTTGTATTTAATGAGTTGTTTAGAAGTTACACCTAACTGCTAACATGCTTACTCAGATTTGGGTGATCAAGAATTTGCATTCCAAAATATTTGCTGTACATTCTCAGTTCATTTTAACCCTGGTTTTAAACAATTCATACAGAGAAGAGTTTGTTTTAAATGATAAAGATTGCTAATGTTTTCTTTCTAAACACTCTGGTTTTCAAACATGTGCTATCTTTTTAGTTAGTCATCACTGAGTTAACCAAACAGGAATTCTTTGTTTGCTAGCTGGAGAAAGCCTTTAGGCTAGGAGTTGAATATAAATCCTCTTAACATTTGAAATTGAAGCACAGTTTTTTGGGCTCAAGTAACCTGTCTGAACTAGTAGCACTCCTTTTTATAATCATCACTACTGCTGTAGTTCCTTAAGTGAGGAACTGTATACTGGGTGCCACAGTTCTGGGGGAAAGAGTACATAAATTACATTATCTTTAAGTTTAGAGGAGGATCATATTCAGAGTTAGCTAAATATTAAGATTCACAAACTAGCATTAATCCTATCAATATCCATATGCAGGAAGGAATAAGCTGAGAATGATTAGTTGATAAACATTTGCTGCAAAAGTAGGATAAAGACAAAATCAGAAGAATATGCAAAATGTGGAAATCATTTAAGCCCTTTTAGAGGCAGTGATCATTGGAAACATCTGTTTCAAGTAACAAAATAATAAATTGCACCTCTGTGTTTTTGCTCTCCATGTGTAGGAACATGGAAGGCTACATATGCTGCACTTTTAGTCACATGATGGTGGGGATTAGAATGGAACAGCTGGCAACATTAGAAGCTGTTGTCCTACTGCTTCTTTCATAGGGTAGCACTATTTTTTCTGCGGCCCTGATCTTCCCCATTTTTAATTTTCTTTTTGTTTTCCAACTGCACTACCACACCAAATTTGGTATCATTGTATCTTTATGGAAGTATCCAGCTGACAATCAGAGAGGATCCTGGTTCCTTTACATACTTTTTCCTAGATTATTTTAATCCCAGGGATGTTTATGTTTCTGTAGAGAAAGTCAGCATACATCAGGGGTCTTCAAACTTGGCCCTTTTATGACTTGTGGACTTCAACTCCCAGAATTCCTCAGCCAGGCATGCTGGCTGAGGAATTCTGGAAGTTGAAGTCCACAAGTCATAAAAGGGCCAAGTTTGTTAAGGAGCATTTAAAGGAATATTTTGTTTTAAATATGTATAAGGGAATTTCAATGGTATAAGTAACACTTATGTGTGTGTTTTTGATTGTGATGATAAAGAAAGACGGATAAACTTTATATAACATAAGTATGATATTAGAAAATATTGTTTAGTTTTTTTGAATAATTTATACTTAAAGTTTATAATATCTTAATGGTGGATTAGATTCCAATTAATTTACTTTATATGAAATATGATATTTTGTAATGTTATTAAGTTAGGGAGATGATTGGTTTATTAATTGTGAAAGAAACAGAAGTTGTGAATTATAGATAAAATAAATTATAATGGTAAATTGGTAGGATTGTAACGACAAAGAAATTATCTTAATGTTAAATTTAATTATAGCGGTATGGTTGTTAATAGGATAGTATTGGAAGAAGGGTGTTTTTTTTCTTTTTTTTCTTTCTCTTTCTGTTTTTCATACATAATGGAGTTAAAGTATTTAATAATTTGTTTATTGAATGTAATTATATTTGTTTGAGGTTTATTTGAGTTTAAAAGTTTTTCCTTTTAAGTTCTAGTTAACCCTGTATTCAGCTCTGGGAAGAAGGGGGGAGGGTTTTGGGGAGGGTTGGGAGGGATTGGGGAAGGGGTTTTTTATTGTAAAATTGTAAAAATTTATAATTAAAAAAAGGGCCAAGTTTGAAGACCCCTGGCGTACATGAAAAATACAGTAATGTTTGAAACTAGACACTCTTGTTGAAAAGGAAGCCACAAATAAGAGCAAATCAACTTGGGCTGCAAATTTGATATTAATGAAGATGATGGGTTGCAATATTGCAAAAAGCATGAACTTTCAGTTTTTTTCAGAAACATTTCATTGTTTGAATTATAAGTCATAATGAGCTATATCAGATGGCTATATGGTTTCCTTTTGCAATGGGTTTATTTTACAATATTTATTCATTTAGTTTGTTTTCATATACAAAGATAATCCCAAAGATAAAATTTGGGATTGTGTTTATACTTGCAGCCATTTACAAATCTGAGCCATCATTACATTCAAGGTGATCATTTAAAAATTAGATTGCTGAAATTTTTCTATTCTTTTAGGCTCCTGTTTTCAGTTTTACTTATTTTAGCAATAGGTTTCTACCTTTCAAAAGATCAAAATTGTGCAGGAAGTTGTTTTTTTCTGAAACACTGTACGGAAGTTGGACTTTAAAGAAGCAGGATAGAAAGAGTACTGACTCTTTTCAGGTTTGGTGTTAGAGAAGACCTGAGAATATCAAGACAACAAATAGGTCATCAAACAAATCAAAGCAGAGATCTCACTAATGGCACAAATGACCAGACTGAATTTATCATATTATGGACACATGCTAAGACCTACTTATCTGGACAAGTCAGTAATGCTGGGAAAGATGTAAGATAATAGATTCATTGATAGCAGTAATAGGCGTGTCATTGAAAGCCTGAAGAACCAGGTTGGGGACATATTCTTCTGGAGATAATCTATCTACAGTACATGGTTTTGTTAAAAATTGATACCATCTTGATACATAATCAATTCTACCTTTCAAACTGCTGTTGATTTTTTTTCCCATCAGTGTTATGGCAAATGGAATGCAGACATTATGCCAACAATTTCTTTCTGATTTCTGGGCAAAGATAAACTAAAATGACTAACATGTTATTACAATCTCCATACACCTTGTGGGCAAATGTATAGTGAAATTATGCCGTAATTGGGCATGTAAGTACCAGTATATAACTTGGCATAAATAAACTTTTAATTCTCTAAACTAACTATTTAAATATCTAATCATAAAAAATACGGTTGTGGGATCTCTTAATACAGTGGGAAGACTCAGCCTTTATATGTAAATATAAATGTTGCACACTGCAAATTATGATTTTAATGATCCTCTTGACCATGTGCCTGCATGCATGGAAGGGTTTGTCCAGTAGAAGTTTCTAATTGTTTATGCTTGATCAATTTTGGTAATTGTACAATTGTTATACACCGAAAAAGCTGATTCTTCTATTAGCTATACCATCAGCTTCCAGTTGGAACATTTGAATTGCATATTCATGTTCTCTGGAATATGTATTTTCAGATGTTTTAAATGTTTTTATTTTTCTCTGAAAGAGTATATTTCTTTTTAGTAAAATAAGAGTTTTGTAAGTTAAAACAGGCCAAAATATTAATATAATCCAATCCCTAATAAGATTTACTGTATAGAAAAAATGGTTTATCAAGCATATCTGAGTCAAAAACATAAGAAATATGTTTACTTTTTCCAGTAGTTAAAATTCCTCTCCATCTGATCCCTTTTTCTAATTCAGTTATTTAGTTAATATCTTATGTCTCATAATGGACAAATAGTCTTGGACGGATAGTTGGAGATAACACTGTCATTATTTATCTTTTTTGCCAAGTTGTATTAAATAGATCAGGGTTGTCATACTGCTGGCCCACGGGCTGGATGCGTCATGCCAAAACTGTGCCCACCCCATTGCCGGCAATGGGGGAAAAGTCGCAATACATCATGACATGTCACATGACATAGCAAGTTTGACACCCGTGAAATAGATTAATATAGGTAAAATTATGCTTTTCGAATTTGAAGAGCTTCTGCCCTATTGCTTTCTACAAGTCTGCTGTCTGGGGCTCACAACAAATTAATGACTTTGGCATCTTACATTTTATAGTCTAGAGTTCATTGACATTGTATTACTAGATACCCAACAAAGGAATGTGGGAGGTTTTCTGTCAAATACATTGTTCCTCTCTTTCCAGAAGCATTTTCTTCACTTCAACTGACTGTATTATCACATGCTATTTCTTTGTAGAGTTCACGTATTCAATTCATCAATAATTTTTACAAATAAGATGGTTCTTCCTTTTTCACTCTTGATTTGACAAATAAACTACAGTTGACTGGGTTTGCATACCACATTAAACCAGACAACCCACATTATTATTGAGCAATATGTGAAGCCAGTCATTAGAGTTCTTTGTACGTATAAACAAGAAACTGCATAGGGCAATAATTTTTTGTAGGTTGTGTTTCCAACTGCTGGAAATATGCTTCTGGGCAAGAATCATTCTTCAAGTGACATCACACCTTTGAGCTGGTAGGTACATGTGGGATTGGAGAATAAGTGATCAACTTGCCTACAAAAGGCTGAATGTGGTCAGTCCCTAAACACACACATGCCTGAAGGCAAAGAAAGTGCTGAGCTGCAGCCACCCACGATTTTATTTTCTAAGGGTCCCTTTGGCGGGAAAGGGAGCTGGGAGATGCCACACTTAATTTGTAATAATAATAATTTGTAATATGGCAATCTGTTGGTGATCTTGCTTGAGTATAGAAGTTACAATTGCGAAAAAGAGTTTCCTGGAATAGAATTAAAATCCCAATTCTGTTATAAAGTTCACTATATAGCCTTGAGCCGAGCATACTCCTTGGTGTAAACACTTTCACAGGATTATTAAGATAATACTAACCACTTCCAGCAATTTCACATAATTGTTATGAATAAGCAGTGAAAGGGAGGAGGATTTATATGAAGTTGCTTAAAACAAAGGAGAATAATTCTGTACAAGGATGTTATGACTCTAAATTGCAAGATGTCTGGTTGATAACAAGAATTTTCTTATTCCTCTCTTCCATTTCAGCTAGGTGTACAACCTACCTTTGGCATACTGTTTGATATCGATGGAGTATTGGTACGAGGAAAGACCCCAATTCCTGCTGCCCGAAAAGCCTTTCAAAAACTACTTAATTCTCAGGGACAACTTTTGGTGCCTGTAGTATTTGTTACTAATGCAGGAAATTGTCTTTGTCAGAAGAAAGCAGACCAGCTGTCACATCTTCTTGAAATTCCAGTAAGTAACATTGTCATCTATTGGAATGTTTGTCATTTTCTTTCTTCTCTGCAGTACGTGAATTAGAATTGTCATATATTTATCTATAGCAGGGGTCTTCAAACTTGGCCCTTTTATGACTTGTGGACTTCAACTCCCAGAATTCTTCAGCCAATCACGCTGGCTGAGGTATTCTGGGAGTTGAAGTCCAGAAGGGCCAAGTTTGAAGACCCCTGATGTATCGTTTAGGATTTTGCCTTCAACTGATAGAGGCAGCTTCTTAAGCTTCATTACAAGTCTTGCCATGCTTTATTAAAATTGTTCTACATTTCCTGTTTCTTTTGGAAGCAATCTGGCAGAATGAGGTTTCCAAAGCACCACAAGAGTGGCCTCCATTCTTTTGAACCTTCGGAAGCCTTAGTCCCCAAATCGTGCAGTTTAGGGAATAAAACTTCTGAAGCATCGTAATAATGAAATGCCAGCTTGGAAAATGGCACAAGGCAGCTTTGGTAAGAAGACCTGGCACGGGCAGCAGCTTTGCCACATATGCTGGATATGCCTGTCAGCAGCTGGAGAAAAATAGCAAAAGTAGGGTGTGACAATTCCTATAGAGCACAGGGTAGCAGGGGGAATTGGGGCTTTATGGAATGGTGCTGACAGAGTAGGACAGCTTTGGGCCTTTAGGTGGCATCTGGTTGACATTGTTGAAGGCCTTGGGACTTGCTTTCGGCCCCAGCACTGCTGCCGCCATCAAGTACCCTGTTCAGGGTGGACAAAAGGGCATAGATCAGGAGGATAGAGGCAGGTGGGGGGAATTGCAGCACCCCTGTGTTCGTAAGTGTGGACAGGCTGCCAAGTACCTGAATTTTGTTCATGTGGCTACAAGGGTGATGCAACGGCTATAACTTTGGCCATGGGTCGAAAGTCCATTTTTTTCAGCACCATTGTAATTTTAAACAGTCACTGAACGAATGGTCGTAATTCATGTGCCATCTGTACAAGAATGAAAACAGATTATCCACTTTTTCTTTGTCCTAGATTTCCAAAGACCAAGTTATGATGTCCCACAGTCCTTTGCAAATGTTCAAACGTTACCATGACAAATGTGTTCTTGTATCAGGACAAGGCCCGCTCCTTGACATCGCTGAGCAGTATCCTTAGAAAATGCTGGGTTCATTCTGCATTGGGCTGAAGGTGCACGATAGGGGAATGTGCTAGAGTTAAGCATGTGGTGTGTATCGTTTTTTCTCAAGATCCAAAGATACATTTTGTAGGGAAAGCAAAAAATGTCTCCCATGAACTCTGTGAATTTAGGAAATCTCAAATGGGATGATACAGAATGTAAAAAGATAGCCAGACTAAGAAAGGGGAGTAGATCTCCTTTGCCTCTTGACTCCTTGAATCAATTCCATTGATTCAAAATTCTTCTTTCTCTGAGCAGAGTTAAAGATTTTCAAAGTAAAATTCCTAGAAATCAATTTGAGGCCATTTATTAGGAACTCTCATAAATGTTTCAAATTGGAATGTACCGTAAATTATAATGAGTTAATAAGAAACATTCTTGGACATTGTTGTACTTCTGAATAAAAAATAGCTTTTGTAAGAATCCTAAATATAAAGTTCTGAGTGAACAAAGATTGTGTTTATCTCTCTCCCTATATTGTATGTACTCTCCCAGAGGATATGGAAACATTTCCTTTACTTAGAATATGTATTATTTGTTTGGAGAATGTAAAACAAATATGCTTTTCATTAAATCATAGATGCATTGCTATCCATAACCAATATGTCATTAGTCTTGGATTTTGTCGGCCTATTACAATTGACAGGTTGCGAGAAACTTATCCCTTATTAGACATGGTAGATCATGACAGAAAACCTAAAGTTTTGGTAAGTGTACTGTACTTTATTGCTTTTTACTCTTTAATAATTCCTTCCACATTTTTTACATTGTCTGTAATTACAGTAGCCTATTGGGCTGCTTGTCATGTAAATCAGGGGTCTCCAATCCCAGAGCCATGGATTAGGTATTGGTGCACGGCTTGTTAGGAACTGGGCCGTGCTGGCAGGCAAGCAAGCGAAGCTTCATCTGTGCATGTGCAGGATCTTAACCGATTTTGAAGATGGGGCTTGAGTGTGACAGAGAAAAATGTGACCTTTCAAATGCTAAATACGTTCCTGAACAGATTTTGGAAAGTGGCAGTATCACTTACCTTTTCTAGACTCAGAAAGTAAACAGTGTCAATTCAGATTACTAATTGAGTAAGAAATGACCAGGAACTACCAGTAAAGTAGTCCAGACCAGGAAGTTGAAAAACACCAGGAAGATTTAGCAACAACACTCTTTCCCTGTTAAGAAAACCAAATGGATACATCAACTGTCAATAATTAAGCTTGACTAAAAGGAGACTTCACTCTACCTAGTCAGATGACCTTTCATACAGTGGTATGAAGTACAATAAAATAAGTACAAGTTAATATAAAACAATATTCAATAAAAACAAAACGTGCATTAAAATGTGCCGAGAGACATATTTCCAACATTCATACCAGGAACAGATGGGTATTGATGTTCTATGTTATAATTATATTACTTTTTTGATATCCTGTTAGTAGTTCATTTGTCTGCCAGTAGCAACATATGAAGGTGGGTTTTAGTTCTAGTTCGGATTATAACATAGAGTGGATAAATATTTCCCTACATGCACAAATTAAAAACAATAATGTAGTGGTGAAAGTCTGATTGTTCAAGTCTTATTGTTTCCTTGATGCAACATGTACTAGTAATTTGATTGTCAAAAATTACACATTGTGTACACAAAGGATGCATTTAAAGTAACTTTCTTCACATCATTCATAGCATTTAAAAGATTGCATTTTTTTTCTTAGAGTTTCTCAATGTTGACTGATCCTAGAACAGATTTGGTAGCAGCTAAGAGAGCAACTGAGGAAATGCTACTGATGACTAATAACACAAAGGCTCAAGTATTGTAGTAGGCAAGAGGGTAAAGAGGGCAGCAACATTGGACAGAACCAGCTTTGTTCAATTCAATCTCTCCTGACATCTGGAGTTCAGATCAATGTATGGTTAGCTCTCTAATTAGATACATAGCTTGCTTGTCTTGCAGAAAGGAGTACCGTAATTGTTAATTTGTGATGCAGGGGGGTTTTTTTTGTTCCTTTTCTTTGCTCTTTTCCTTTACTATATAGTTCCTTTCCTTTACTATAAGCACACTATAATATGGATGTTGCTGATACACTATTTTGCAGCAAGTGCACATATAGCTAAAGAAAAGCTGTGAATCAGAGAAATAATTTAATTCAGTAGGTTATTGAAAGTAATTGATCTGGTCAGCCAATTTTAGGATATACAGTAGTTTACTTCAGGTGTCCCAGTCTTTTCCCATGATTATTTAAATTTGAAAGCATTGTCTTGAGGGAAGGCTAGTTAAATTTACTTGCCAAGTAAAACAACTGAAGTTATCCACAGCCTTTCATATGATGTTCCATAATCCCCAATCAGCCTGACCCTGAATTAGCCTTCTCCTCCTTTTAGATTGTAAATTTTAACTGTGAAGCTGAAATTCAACATCATTTGTTAAGTCAATGAATGTGTATATTATAAAAACATATACAAGAATGGATGAATATGGATTTCATCTTCATGTTTGTGATATTGTGCTGTTGAACATAATGCAACTTCTACAGACTAAAGTGAGCTGCAGTTGAAAATGTGGAAATGACATGGGGTTAATAGTAAGAATTTACAGATAATCACAGGTATACAGTCAGACAGTGGAGGAATAAGTTCTGGTGGCAGATTGAATTAGGCCTAAAAAATATGAATGTATATTAGAGGGGATTCTATGTTATAAACCCAGGAGTGTCATTTCTGAGACACATTAGCAATTATATGAGCTTCTCTTACAGCAAGATTATGAGATAAATATTTATGGAGATTCTTAGTCATCCAGGTCATTTGTCTCAAAAGTGCTTTTTTAAAAGGCAATTCAAGATCTAAGAGGCAAGTATAAATGGGCAGTATCTCATCTCCTTACAGTTGCGATGATAATTTTTAATTTTTTAGAGGTGTAGGAAATTTAATCAGAACATAGGGTGCGCCCATAATGTTCAGAGGCTTATTTACTGGGTTTCTTCTTTGTGCTAATAAAGGATACTTTTCTTAGTAAATGTAACTTGTTTTTAATTTGTAGCACTTACCCACAATGGAATTTCCCAAAATTGAAGGTTAGTATGTGAAGATTTATGTCTAATTCTGAAATTTACTCCAAGTAAAATGGACTGCTTTGTGATAGCTCTCAAAGTATTTTGCTAATTTTTCCTAGCTTTTTCTGATATATCTGAACAAGAATGTGATAGTAATCATATACAATATATAGTATATATCAGTTTATAATGATACTGACAGGTTGTCCATTTTTGTTTCTTTGATTTTTCTACTATCTGCACTCTTTATAAATCTGCCATTAATGTTAAGCTGTGAAGTTTCTAGTTCTTTGCTAAACCTCATTCTTATAGTTTCTATTTCATATGCAGTTTAAAAACTAATAAAAAACTAGTAATGTGAATTTTAAAATACAGTAGTATCTTCAGAAGTTCTGTTGAGGTTTGTAATTATATTCCACTGGCACTGAATCATCCAAGTTTATATAAAAATTTGGGTTTTGTACAGTTTATGATTTTTTCTTGTGTTTTTTTCTGTTTCTAAAAGGAAAAAGGACTGACGTACTTTAAGTACAAAGTAATTATTTTCTTTTAGATATCAGTGGACAAAGCAATTTAATGCTACCTCAAGTGGTTTTTGTGATACTTTAAAAACGATTTCTGCACTTTAAGATGTGCTAAGCTCATTGGCTAATTTATTTATTTGCTGCTAAATTCTGATGACATGATCACAGCAGCCTTTATGGGCTGATTAAAAATAGATTCAATGACCAAATGCAGCCTGAGACCATAGTTTGCCTATTCTTGTTATAGTGTGCATGAAAGGCAGAAGGTGGTGTGTTTGTTATTTTGCATTAGGAAATAGTTTACAATCATGCGCATGTAACACATTGATATTGTGCGTATCTTAACAGCAGTTATTTTGTTTGGTGAGCCAGTGAGGTGGGAAACCAACTTACAGTTGATAATAGATGTTCTTTTGACAAATGGCTATCCTGGAAATCCTTATCAGAGAACTTATCCACATATTCCTGTATTGGCTTGTAATATGGATTTGATGTGGGCAGCTGAAGCTCAATCCCCAAGGTAAGGCAAAGATGCTAGTTGCTCTGAAGGTGTTTTTCTTTAGTGGGAAGGAGCTTGGCTGGAAATACTACTTTCAGATGCATTAGAAGCATCATTGGAAACACATGAATGCTTGTTTTTGTGTGCAAGTATAGACATAATAAAGTTAATTGTTTTATTTATAGTAAATGAATAGCTCAGATTGTCAAACCTAACTGAATTGCCAATTAGACTACCATTGCAACTGTTATAGTAGTTGACTGCTACTACATACAGTATATGAATAGAATAATAGAATAGAATGGAGTGGAATGGAATGGAATGGAATAGAATAGAATAGAATAGAATAGAATAGAATAGAATAGAGCTGGAAGAGACCTTGGAGGTCTTCTAGTCCAGCCCCCTGCTCAAGCAGGAGAACCTATACCAGTGATGGTGAACCTTTTAGAGACCAAGTGCCCAAACTGCAACCCAAAACCCACTTATTTATTGTGGGGTGCCAGGTGGGCGTGGCCCACTGAGTGGGCGTGGCTGTGGTGGTTGTGGCAGATTGGGTGGGTGTGGCCAAGGTAGGCGTGGTCACTTCAATGTTGCTCGTGGGGAGGGACACCTATGGGGGGTGGGCAGGGTTGGAGATCCAGGGGTCTCTGGCAGGTGGGGCAGTAGACAGGAGGCTTGTTCTGCAGAGTGAGGTGAGGCAGGGTGGGGTGCCATTGCCATGGGACAAGGCAAGGGCTGGGGCGGATGCTGCCTGACACCATCAGCCCCTGGACACAAAGGCCAGTGAGTGCATGGGGGCTGATGGTGTCCATCAGCAACTACAACCTGCTGGCCCCTCAACCAGTGCACTCTGGGGCTCTGCAGCCTGCCAGCAGTTCAAGAAGCCACCTCTGAGGGGGATGGCTGGCTGACAGCTGAGGAGGCGATGCAGTGGGTCATGCCCGGAAAAAGGAGAGCATGCGAGGCCAGGAGGGATGGGACAGGGGGGAGGGAAACCAGACGTGCCGGGATGCATCTGGCCACGTGGGACCTTGGTGAGTTAGCAGGTGGCTGGTTGAAGAGGGATAGTTGCCATCTCCAAGGCATGGCATGCATGCTGACAGAGAGGGCTCTGAGTGCCGCCTCTGGCACACGTGCCATAGGTTTGCCACCACTGATCTATACTATCTCAGACAGGTGAATGTCCAGTCTCTTCTTAAAAATCTCCAGTGATGGAGTGCCCACGGTTTCTGGGGATAAGCTGTTCCATTGTTTCATTGTCCTCACTGTCAGTTTCTCCTTAGTTCCAGGTTGCTTCTCTCTTTGATCAGTTTCCAACCATTGTTTCTCGTCCTTCCCTTTGGTGCTTTGGTGAACAACCTGGCCCTTATGGCAGCCCCTCAAATACTGGAACACTGCTATCATGTCTCCCCTATTTCTTCTTTTCTTTAGACTAGCCAAAGCCAAGTCCCGTAGCCGTTCTTCGTATGTTTTAGTCTTCAGGCCTTTGATCGGCTTAGCTGCTCTTCTCTGAATTTTTTCCAAACTCTTAACATCTTTTTTGTGACAAGGTGACCAAAATTGGCTGCAGTATTCCAGATGTGGTCTTACTAGGGATTTATAAAGCAGTAATAATACTTTGTGTGATCTTGATTCTATGCCTCTGTTTATGCAATCCAGGATCGTATTAACTTTTTTGGTTGCTGCTACATACTGCTGGCTCATAGTCAAATGATCGTCCACTAGGACTCCAAGGTCTTTCTCACAGTTACTGATTTTAAGCCAGATCTTGCCCAATCTGTATTTGTACTTTTGGTTTTTCCTGCCTAAATGTTAAGACTTTGCTTTTCTCAACATTGAAACTCATTTTGTTGGATAGGGATCTTTTTGGATCCTGAGTTTGTCTTCTGGGGTGTTGGCTCCTGTCAGTTTGGTGTCATCTGCAAATTTGATGAGTTCCCCTTCAATTCCCTCATCTAAGTCATTTATGAAGATATTGAAGAGAACTGGGCCTAAGACAGAACCTTGTGGTACCCACTGCTTACTTCTTTCCATGTGGATATAGTGTCATTGAGGACTACTCATTGAGTATTGTTTGTTAGCCAGCTACAGATCCATCTGGTGGAGATGTTGATATGTAACTTGTGCTTTTGAGTTAATGTTTTTCTCTCTTGAAATTAAGCTGCTATTTTTGTCTGATTCTGATCATAGCATTTTTTGATGGTCCTGCAAAAGCATCAAGATAATGTTCTCACAGTAAACTTAATTTAATTCAGCCTTGTAAATGTTTTGTGGAGGCTATCTTGCCCAGATGGGCTTTTTTCTACACAATTACAAATGTTTTGGCAAGTTTCTTCAACTTTTAAGTGACTGTCGGGAATTATGTAGGCAGAAGAATAAGTGAATCAAAGCAATCTTGCCTTATAAATTCATAGAAGAGAAGCTAAGGATTTGGATAAGTAGTATACATTAAATTTTTCCTTTTGGTGTAATACATTGTTTTTATCCTAGCCAATTATATAACTTTATTGACCAAATCTTATTTCTGTGTTTCAGATTTGGGCATGGAACATTTATGGTTTGTTTGGAAAATATTTATAAGAAAATCACTGGAAAAGAATTGAAATATGAAGTATTGATGGGAAAGCCTAGTGAAGTGACTTACCACTATGCAGAGTACCTCATTAGGACTCAAGCATCTGCAAAGCAGTGGACGAGCCCTATTGAAACATTGTATGCCATTGGGTAGGAGATTTCTTTTCTTCCCTCTCATTTCCTCTCCAGAAAAAAAAGTTAAATTTCAGGCAAGCTGTTGTTCCAAGTTAAATGGCGGTAGACAATTGAAAAGAGTATTGAATAGGCCCCTGAGGATGCGTTGATCTCTAAACTAAATGTTTTTCAGGGTACCAATTCACTCTTGCTCTTTCTAACTTGGGAGACAGGCTAGACAGCCAAGTCAATAGCAAAATCTGTCCCGTATTTCTACATAGCACTACCCAATCTGCGATTTAATTTGAAACCTTTTAAGACAGTGGTTCTCAACCTTTTTAATGCCGCGACCCCCAACCGGTCGTAAGTCGAGGACTACTCAACCGATCGTAAGTCGAGGACTACTCAACTGGTGCAGCACCGTTTGCAGAATGGGACTTTTGGCAGGCTCAGCAGGGCAGAGACAGCCTGGACAATTCCTATTGGCTTTTGAAAGCCAATAGAATTATATTCTAATCAAGAGAGTCTATTGGCTTTCAAAAGCCAATAGAATAAAAGGGAGTAGCATAGCTAAGGAAAAGGGGGGGGGAAATGGTGGACTGCGTTGTTTGGCGACCCCCGTGAAATGGTCGTTCGACCCCAAATGGGGTCCCGACCCACAGGTTGAGAACCGCTGTTTTAAGATCTCACGCTGCCTCTAACAAAGAAATTACTTGCTCTTGTGTGCTTAAGTGTTACAGTCTAGTCTTGTGCATGTTTTCTTAATAGAATTGATTGGTCCCCAGCACCAGGTAAAGTTGCCTTGTAGTTTATGGATGTCATGCTTGAAATTTCAGTTCAAACGCTACAGATTTCACTTTGGAAAAGCTATGTGAGAGAATGTTTGAATCATTGGTTATTCATGTAATTGTACAGTTTCAACTAAGCTTCAAATTGATTTTGGAAGTAATTTCATTGCAATATAATCCTGCCTATTGTAAAATGAGACTATTTAGCATGAAATGCCATTGCATGGCTGCCAATAAAAAAGCAGCCTATTAAGTGACAAGGACTGCTAAAATGATCCAGCAGCTTCCTTTATCATCTATTTCTCTATCCCACTTACTGGGAATTCGCAGAGCTGTAATAATCCCAGCATGTTACATTAAAGAAGCTTGCCCTGTGCCGTATCCTGCTTGTGCATTTCAGATTTTATTCATGCTCATGAGAAACAGCTTGAAAAGAAACCCTTTCAATTGAAAGTTAAAATTCTGGGATGTCAATTTTTTTTAATTTAATTGTCATCTGAAAGTTTGGGTGTATCAATTTGATATTGGGATATGCATGAAATGCTGCAAGTTGAGAACGCTTGTGAGACTATAACATGCTCATCTTCAAAACAAGGTTTTCTGCTTGCGCTGAACTAAAGTTTCTGTCATCCCCTACGGAGGAAATTGGAAGATGACTTCAAGATGACATTCCACTGGCAATAGATTAGAAAAGATGGTTGTAATGTATTCACCCTTGCAGCCTTAAAAAAATTACAGGTTTTTAAAACTTATTATTTTAAATGCTTAAAATAATACAGGCAGTTCTCAGTTAACTATCACTCGTTCAGCAGCCATTCAAAGTTTTGACAGGGGCTTATAAGCAGTCCTCAATGTTCCAGCCATCACAGCACCCCACAATCACATGATTGCTATTACAATGCATGGCAACCTGCTCACACTTATGACAGCTGCAGCATCACAGTCATGTGACTGCAGTCACCTGATCACCATTTGCAACCTTCCCTATTAACTTCCCACAAGCAAAGTCAATGGGAAGCTGACAGGGAAAGGCTAAAAATCACTCCTTTAAGTCAATTCTGCCACTTTTTCTTCTAAGGAGCCTGCTACAGAGATTTCACAGCACATGCCCACCTGCAACACACACATCCATACCCACATTCCAAATTGTTTCCTCTGTCCACATTCCCAATTACAGTCCCAATTACCATCATTATCCAAAGACTATCTGTAACTCTTCAAATATTCCATGATAATAGCTTAAACTTTATTTCTTCAAAAGAATAAGAAGCCCCGTGCAATGCCATGCAGTAGGACTTGAGTTTACAAAGGTGCTGGATCAAAAGTAAAATTCCCACAAAGAGAGCTCTGACACGTATAGTTTCCCATGAAGAGGGGATGGCACATTATACAAAAAGTGGTCTATGTCTCATTCCAAAAAGCTCTCCAAATTGTAACTTGGAGGTAGACAAATGACTGAAATTGCAAACTTTTAATAAAATGAACTCTGCTACCCTAATAATCATATATGTACCTCCTATATTTTGGTTCTGATGCAACTTTCCTGGCTTTCTAGGGATAACCTGATGACAGATATTTATGGTGCTAATCTTTACAACCGCTACCTTGAAGAGAAGATCTCTAGAAGAAGTTCTAAGGCTCATATCCAGGCCAAAGCGCTGGGGGGCACGAGGTCTGCCACAGTTTCTCAGGAAGAGGAGATTGAGAATGCTTGGGAAAATGAACTTGCATCAGCTACTGCCACAAGATGTAGCTCTGTTCTTGTTTGCACCGGAGTTTACAACCCTCACACAGAGGTGCCTTCTGATACAAGGGTTACTGAGACTGTCTTCCATGGGCACAGAGATTTTAGATTTGATCCTGCTTTAGTAGAACCAAACCACATAGTGTTAGATGTTGAAGCTGCTGTTGATCTCATCTTCCAACTGGAAAACTTTGCACCACATGAAAACTGCAAGACTTCCTAATGGCTTTGGGATACTGTTAGATTCCTTTTCCTTCTGAAAAATCTAGATGGGTGCTTAATATCAAACACTCTCTAACATACTAATGTTTGTATAAGTAACGTTTCTATTACATTTCTAAAAAACAGGACAGTATATCCCATATATCTCCTTTCTGTACCCTGATTTATTTTAGTGACCAACACTGTTGTGAATTGTACTTTTCAATGAATTGTCTTCTACATACTGACTTCACTCCTAGTTCAGAGATTCCAGTTTCCAGATTTGATCATTGATGTCAAACATTACATGTGTTTGGCAGTCAAAATTGTAAAACAACACACTATTAAGCTCCATACATTGCACTGAATGTATCCTCTTCCAAGGAATTAAAATGTGCCTATCTGTACTATCCAACTTTTTTCTTTATTCCATCTCCTTCCCTTGGATCAATGCTCTGTGTGAACCGCAAAAGCTGCATGTTGATGCTTTTCTTGTGTATTCGGTTTGAGATTAAAGGACAGAATTCATAAGTGAACAGAAAGGTTTTGCCAAGGCAGGTATACACATAATCCATTAAAATGAATGGGGTTTGCAGGACAGCATATAGAATTTTGCTCAAATCCCACTTTGAATAAGCTTCCTAAAATTGTTTACTGTCAGACTTTGCCCTTTGGGTTTTATTATTAATCATCCTGGTATTTTTGCTGCATTGAACAGCAGAATTTAGCAGTTCCTTCCTTGATCTTTTAGTTTCAACTTGAAACTCCACAAAGGCAATCAGGTACTGATAAGATAATGTTTTCTCTTCCTTCTGCTACTAAATGTTACATTTTTAATTTTTAAAGACGATGTATCTCATAAATGTAAACTGTAAATTTTATGTCCTATTCTATGAAACTTTGTTAACTGCAGCAGTCTGTCCAGTAAAATATGTTCTATTTTAAAAAGCACAATTTTTTATTCAGTGTTCTAATCCCCTTTTAAAGTTTTTTTTAGTTGGCAGCTATCATTATACTGTATAGTAGAAAAAACATTATTTATAATTTCTTCATTTTGTTCTTGAGACAATTAAAGTCCCTATACATGCTTTCTTACCCTGTTTACTTTTGCTATGAATCTGCGTCAAGGAACTTTATCAAACTTTTATAATGCAAGTACATCTTTTCACCCAAATATTTTTATATGTGTCACTCTTAAGTTTTAATAGGAAATCCTGCTAGTCCCTTTTCTGCATGTTTTTTTCAAATCCTATTTATACATTGTTGTTAAAATGGCCTTTGTCCCCTTATTAAATATTGTTACAGCGATCGTTTACTCTTTCATGCAAATCTTTACTTGCCCCGGTTTTGAATATCATCAGTATTTAATCAATTTATACATTGGTTTGTATAATAAAGAATATAACTTTTTCAGGAACTCCCTACTGAAGATTTGTGTTTTGCTAAGAACACAGATGCAAAGAAATTCATTTGGACATCATGTTTTTCTTCTCCTTCACACATTCATCTAATTTATTTCAGATACTCTTCCAATTTTCTGGTGATTTTAAGGCATACATACATGGAGCTGTATGTTTGTATGCTTTTCATATTAGTTTCTTTTTTATTTCCTTTTTCAAAATTTCAGGTCTTTTTTGTTTCACCTGGGTAAGACTTAGCTGCTTTTTTTTTTGTTTTTTAAACCTCCTGCTTTCCATGCTGGCATAGTTACGGACTTGGTGATAGTATATATGCTGCAGGTCAGGAAAAGAATCTGAATTTCCAACTTTACAGTATAGAAAATGTTCAAGCATTCTGGAGAAAATTGGACTTTCAATTTTTCTTTTAACCTTTCTTAACCCTTACTTTTTTCATTAAAAAACAACAACTGGGAAATGTATACAGATGGCTAAACTTTCCAAAATCTTGTTAAAAAAGAAAAAAAAAGAAAATTCAGCGTTTTAATTGGCAATTGAAATTACTACTGCTTGACAGTCTCCATATGAGTAACTGTAGGAAAGATATTATGTTCTCCAAATAAACTACCAGGTCTTCTGCAGATCACTGCCACAAACTATTGCATTAAGCAGTAGCATGTTCACATGACTACAAGGAAGAGATCATTTAATCACTTGGTCAATCATTACTGTTCTGATGATTTATCTTTACAAAACTGAGTCTACGGAGTCCTAGACTAAATAAAGCAATGGGACAGAAATTCATCTGATTATACTTCATTCCAGTTCAACACTCGCCTCTTAAATGCAGTTTGTTTTACCTAACTCTATACTGTCAGCTCCCACAATTTTCAGAAATTGGCATGCTGATTTACAAGATCTGGAAGTTGGAAATAGTAGTATATAGAAGAGACAGGGATGGCATCTTGTGTGCAGGAGTATAGAACTAACTGAGTGGAGAACCTGATGGTATCAAATATCAAAGAAGTAAGACTGGTGGTATGTGGCAATCAACAAAAGACAACCGCAATTTTTTGAAGCTGGATGGATGCAAACCTTGATGGACACAGAGCTAAGAAATAAAACCAGTGAGCAATCACAGACTATATACATAATATTACATGTAGAGGGAATAGAAAAACTTTGGGCCTTCAGAAGTTCAGAGACCAAATAAGATAGATGAATATGAAAAAAGAAGAGAAGGAAGTCCAACCTGAATGAAGCTGAGTTTGCTACCTTCCTGTATTCGTTAGTTGGTACTTGACTCTGATATATAACTGGATAATCAAATGCCTAGAAATAACAGAAATCAGCAGGAACATCAGAAGCTTTGTGCAAAGATCAGTGGAACAATGGAAGACACACTTGCTGGTCGATAGTCTGGAAGAGATTAACATCAAGAGGAATCTTTCAAGGAGACTATCACTACAACTGTTTGTCAACAATGCTGAATAAGTAATTGGTCACAAACTCAGCTTTGTAAGCAGTGTATTTAGGATTAAATTTGGTGTGAAACACTAGAGAACACTAGAGAAAGAAGCCTACCTCCTATCATATATAGGACCAGGATTTTTATTCAACAAACACTTTTCAAGGTGTTTGCCCTTCTTTTTGAATGAACAAGATAAATGGATCATTTTATTCATGAGCTAACAATGTAATTTAAGAAAGTGAGTAATTTTATCCCTGGGAAAAGCATTGAAGTACAGTAGATATCCTGACATAGTGTAGATTGGATTGTAAGATCTTACAGACTAAGCAATTTCTGAATTAGTCTGTGATCTGAACTAAAAGCCAAAAATGAACTGAAAACCAAACTTAAGAGGCAACTGATCCCCAGCTATAATAATAATGGTTATATAGTGATTTAGAACTTAATGTATTTAATGTGATTTAGTTTTTTAATCGCACAGTGACTATGAATAAAATGGATTTCTTTTTTGAATGGGAGTGTCCACATTTAACTTTTGAGTAGACAATAGCTATAGGAGTGGGAAAAAATGACACTGTTCTATTTTTTAAAATAGGGATTTTAACAGAATTAAGCATATTTTATAGTCTTTAAGAGTTTATCACAGGTAAACAGGAAGAAACAGGCTATTTCCAGGAACTTTTTTCTAGTCTTGCAAGCATATTTTCACACTTTTTTAAATTAACCAAATTCAAAAAGAAATATACACAAAATTGTAAAACACTTAGAAAGGGTTTTCATCACTTGCATCCTTTCCAGGAGAATGGGGACAAGTATAGCAAAGCTTTGTACAGGTTGTTGAAGGCAAAAGTGTCTTATAGTCACGGTAGCAATATGGAATACACACAATTGTCACTAAATATTAAGGGCTCAGGGGCTGAAGAGGCCTACTGCCAGCAAGCTATTTTAGAAGGCGGGAGATCAGATTTATCATTTTAACCAGAAGCATTGGTTGAATGCTTTGACTTTTTAAAAACAATACTTTTATATTAGAATCTTGCTTTTAGTGTACATGAGTGTATTACATTGATTGATTGATTAAGGGCTATCAGAATGATGTTGATCATTAGAGGTCAATATTGGTAGATTCTTTATAGGATGATCTGTCTTCACCTCAGCATTTTAAGCTTCTCTGTGGTGTACTCATTGCTGTCATAATTGAACCTATCCTTCTTGATCTAGTCCACTTCATCCCATTCTTCCAAGCCTTGTAGATTTCTTAAGAAACTGGGTTTCCACGTAGTGTACATGAACCCAGCTATAAATAGTTGTCACGAAGAGTACACAGCAATTGTCAGTCAGCTCCAGTGTTCTAAGGCTTGAAATTCAGCCACAGCTATAAAAAGCAATTGACCCACAATTCTTTAAGTACAAACATGTATATTTGGAGCGATGATTTGGAACTAAAGGTATTCTTAATGTTATTAATGTCAATAAAACATGAATTATTCAAAAAAGCACATTCCAAATGAAACTGTCCAGGTGCCAGATAAGAGGTTCAGAGAAAGCAATTTCTCTGCTTTAATAGGATTGTCTCTAAATGTACAAGTTCAGCTCCTGAATCCAAAAGAGTATTAGTTTCTGTTCCTATACAAAATTTCAGATTGAAAATTGTCCTGATATCAAGAACAATCACATTATATTTGGGCACGGCCAAGCAGAAATACCTTTTTCTCCCTCATTGTTTTCCTGCAACTGCTGTCTGAAAGCATGTTATTCAATTGACAAGAGATCTGCCTTTTTCCTTAGCTATACAATTTTATAGCTTTACTCATTATCACCCAAAGATAATGAATAATGAAAAATTCAATTTTTTTCAGACCGACTAATCTGAAAAATAGGATTAAAAAAGTAGATTCTAAAATTGGTCTCTGAGTCCTTTCATTCTCATCCACTTTTATTGATACACAATCATTTTGGACAAACAGTTTGCAGATGTGTTACTCTAGAAACTTCCCATTTTTATAAAGTGGCAGAATAAGTAGTATCACTTCAACTTTCACATCAAGATGATACCTTAGAAAACATGGTTGCCCATTTATTGATTGATTGCCCATCTCATGTCAAGGTGACTCTGGGCATCTTATTAAAAGCTATAAAGCTGTAAAACATAAATATTTCTAAAAACAATAACCTACAATTACAGTAAAAAGTAAAATTACAATTACAATTAAAAAATGAGTGAGAGAGCAAGATGCACAGGGGGAAGTAGGAATTTAAAGCTCTATCAAACAATATCTGAAATGCCCCAAACCTCTTTGATAAAACCTCTTATATCTTATTTTTCCTTCTTAGGTAAACTGAAGCCTGCAAAGTAAAATTTAATATTTGTAATGTACTTTAGCAGCTATTTTTTTAAGAGCCAAAAGGAACGTTGGAAAACAAACAAAATTCTCCCCACCCCCAGCAGAATTAAAGAAAACAAATATCAAACCAAATACTACTTAAAAATAAATAAAAACATTAGAATAAGTTGGCAATTGTGTTGGCTATTTAAATGGCATCAAATATGGGGCTTATCACAATGTATAGTGCAACTGAATATGGAGATGGTCATCTTTTTCCAGTATCCTGTGCCTCATGGGGAAGCACTGATACAAATCATAATGAGGGCAATTGATAGTATTATCTGAAATATTTACCTGAGGTGGATACGAAAAAGTAATCTACCAAGTTTTGTATTTACAAGTTTAGACATACTCTATTCTTTAATAGCACCCCCGTTAAACAGCTTATTAGCATGCTGCATCATACTCAGGTTTAGTTTTGGCTTAATGTTTATAAGAACCATTGGGTTTTATAGATTAATGACAAAGCATAGATCAAGGATATGCAAGCTACAACCCCAAGACTTGTAGCCTTTAACACTCCCCCCCCCCGTCTTTCTGAGGTGTTGAAAGCTCTCCTGGTTGCATTACTGAATTTAAAGTTGTGACTGCTGAAAATTGGCAGCAATTTTCCAATATAAGAAAGGAAATATAGAAAAATTATGTTTTGCTTTTATAAATTGTAGAATAGTTTTGATTATATGCCATCAAGTTGGTGTTGATTCTTAGTGACCATGTTAAATAGATTTTCTCCAGGGGAGATCTCTCTCCAATCTGATTCTTCCAGTCTTCCAACTGTGCACTGATTGCTGTTATAATTGAGTCCAGCCACCTTTTGCTGCCATCCCTTTTCTCTGTGTTATAGACTCCTGCAGAAAGCTACATTTTTGTATATGTCCAAAATGTGATTTGTGTCATTTGTGCCTCAAATAAATTCTCTGGGTTGATCTGTTCGATTAGCCATTTATTTTCTTGGCTATGCACGGGACTGTCAGTAATCTTTTCCAATACTGAAGTTAAAAAATGTCAATATTCATTCTATCCGCTTTTTTCAAAGTCCTACTTTTGCACCCATAGAAAGTCACAAGGAAAACTACTACCTGATTTATTCTACACTTAGTAATATAGACAACTTATGGACAACTTTTCCAAGGCCTTCATTGCTATTCAACCAAGTACTAGTCCATGGCATATTTCTTGACTGCTGAAAATCACATTACTACTGTTAAAAACAAAACATAAAAATGCTGTACAAAATTCAGTCTGCCAACTGTGGATTTTGTTTTCCTCCAAATTATTAAAAGCTGTGATCCTTGACAGAATATGTGTGGACATAGTCATTATTGCTGCAATCAGCTGGGAAGTGATGAAGATATTTATCACTGTGGCCATGGCTTGATCCATCCTCTTTCCCAATGGACAGAAGGTTTTTTGGGTGGCGGGGGAAGAATGAAATTCTTGTAATTCTTTTGATTTCAATATTTATTTGCTTTGCTGATTGAACTAAATAACCCGAGGTGGAGGTGGTGGTTAATTAAGAAAGACACAATGTAATAGCCAAATGATCATTTTAATTATACACAGTACAATGTATTTGCTACAGATTTTGCTATATTTTACCAAAAGTAATTTCATAGTTTTTAAAAATATTTTTTTTAATAAATCCATAAATAGGTGCCAGTAAAATGTCAACATTGATACTCTGTTCCCTTGTAACCTTATTTTCACCTCTTCTAGTAAACTGTGTAAGGGAAAACAAGATAGATGGGCCTCTATGTTTGTTCCCAGAAGCCTTATTACAAGCAATAAAACTGTTTTCAAAAAATGGAGAACAATTCAATAATATCAGAATTCTTCAAACCCTTTGGAAATGAAGTAGTGAATTCAATATGAATTGGTGCTTTATCTTACTAAGTGTATGAACCAGCTAGTAGAAAAGCTGCCTGTCCTTAGGACAAGAGATTTTAAAAGTCAGGCTATACCAGTTAGTTAGGCACAATTACTGCACAGAGCGTATGATGGACCTTTATTAGCCCACCTCATTAAAAGTTTTCTCTAAAAAAACAGCCCTCACTTCCAAAATTGTCAGGTGCTCTATCAGACTTCAGCCAATGCTATATTTATCGACACAAATCTCTACCATTAGAACCCATCCTAGCAATACTTGCACCTGTCCTATTACACCTTTCCACAGATTCTGCCATCGAGTTATAGCTTAGCTTAAAAGCAATGAGGCGATAATAGACACATAAATGCTGAAATCTTATTCTTAGTAAAACAGCTAACATCAATATGTTTCCAAATCGTCTTTTCAGAAGTAGGAAAGTAATTGAGAAAGGAAGAGCATTTCAGAGCAGAGAGAGACAGCAAGATAAAGAGTAACCCAGTTACTTTCTTCCTCTCCTTTATCACTCGTAGGTTCTGACAGCGTTAGAGGTCAGATTAGCCAGGATATGTAAACTCAACTAGGGATGCTACTAGGATTGCCCCAGTCACACCACCAGTACTGGCTCTTGTATTTAAACATGCATAATAATACCAATCTTAAGGAACTTGTACCTTATTGATCATGGCAGAAATCAGTCAATTGCAAATGTGCCCAATCTTTGTTAAACTCTGGTGTGTGTGTGGGCATGCAAACAAAATGTATATTTTACACGTGGCCTTTCATTTTTAGGCAGAACTATTTATAAGGCACAAACTCCCTATTTAAAGTAAAGCTCACTACATTTCTCCACAGAACATATTTTTTTGTATTTTTGAGTTAGACACTAGGTTGGCCAGATAAAAAAAAATGCCAGCAGCCTACATATCCTATCCTAATCCAGAGACAGATGTGTTCTCTGATGTCTGAGAGTGGCTGGAGGTTTGTATTTTATCTGCACTGCAAGATCACTATCAGCTTTGAACGTTCATCTCTATGAAGATGCACATTTGGTCACGAATTCTCCGTGTAGCTTCTGATTCAACAAATAAATCTGTGAAAGAAGGTTTGATCCAACACATACATTTAATTTATAGAATTTAGGGCAGGGGTTATCCTCAGTTGAAGACTGTTTATTAACTGAGTAAACAAACCTAACAATTTGAGAACTTGAGAAAATAGGCAGACCTTAAAAACCCAGGATCACTCAAACATTATTTCTGGGAGAAGAAATAGGACAAGCTTCTCTACACTTTATCATATTTCAAATACCTGAAGATCCTATGTTAATTTTTTAGTACAGCCATTCGCTGTGATCGATACATTAAAAGCATGCCTGTGAATTATACATGACCTTTATTTTCCAAAATGCAACGGAAGAGGTAAGTTATGATCTAATAAGCATTTTATGTAACCACAAATATTCCAGATTGCCTCAGTATTTATGACACTGTAAATATCTATCCTAGCTATAAGATAAATTGGAATTTAGGATTTCAAGCACCATGAGGGAGGCAGATTATGATCTTATACTTTGTTATATTCACAAAAAATGTCAAATGATTTAAAAGGAACTGATCTTCAAGTCTGAAACTCAGAATAAAGGATGATGTCACCTCCATAATTATGTAAACTAGAAATCAATGCACAGAACCAATGCCATTATCATATCTAGGTCAGGAAATCCAAGGAAGGTTGAAGATAGGCAGACATAAATTCTGCTGGTTAGTTTGAAAGGACTTTAGAGAAATTGGTGCATAATCTGACTATATTTACATTTTTAAATCTTTGTCAAAGATGTGAAAAGACATTGTACATTAGAAAAGGAGAAATAGGACAAAGTTCTTTCTTTTCCCTTGCTCCATGAGAAGCATATGATTTCTCTCAACATTTTACAGGTGTGCGAAGAGGTGTGCAGAAGTCTCTTCTGTTCTACATGCTTGTATGTAACATGAAAACTGAGATTGCATAATTGGTTGTATGTAGATTAGATCATCTGCTATGTCATCTGATACGCTCTTTTAATCTGTTGCAGTAGTGATGTTGCAGACATAACTAGACATGTGTACTTATGTACTTCTGATATTTCCACATTCCAGACATTTTGTAAAGCCCAAAGGGAAAGGGCTAGAGGAAATACATTTTTCAAATTTTAACATTTTTCCATTAAAGTAACTTTGTACAGTATTATAAATAAATACATAATGCAGCTGTCTTTTTTAAATTCAGTATCTTTTAAATTAACTGAAATTTTAATATTTTTATAAATAAATTATCTTTCATAGAACAAAAAAACCCCAATACTTGTTGATTCTATTTTTTTCCTGTATTGCCAAGTCTAGATGTCATCCTATAAACAATTAAATTAAGATGTAAGTGTACATTTTCTGTAATATATGTTTTCTCCTGACCTCGTGATGGTGGTAGCAGTGGTGTATTCCGAGAAGGGTGAGCGAAGAACACTAATTCAAGGCATGAAGGCCATCCAACTGTCTAGCTAATGAGAGAAGGCAACTATATCAAGCAACAATGATAGAGCAAGAGGCTGGAGTTGGATGATCACTTTAGTGCCAAGAGCAAATTCAGAGTTTCACAGTGCACAAGAGAAAGCAATAGTAAGCCAGCCTTGTACTTTACCAAGGAAGCCATATGGATAGACAATATAAAGTGCTGAATGATGGTTGATCTCTCAGATTGGATGGCATTCAACATATGACTGAGAAAGAGCTATTTAGCATTGCTAATGTTTAATGGTATTTATGAAAGAATTAAAAATCTGGGGGCATCTATTTGTAGGTGCTTCCATGCAGAAAAAGAAAATATAAAAAATATAAAAATATAAGACAGAATTATGATAGGAACAATGGAAATAAATACGAACACAGGAAAGCTCAACATAATGAAAAATGAAGTTAATCTTTACACTTTTAACACCTTAAGCATCAGCAGACTAAGATAGACTGTAACTGCACAGTTTTTCAATCAGTTACCTAGGTACAATCCAATTAATGACCAAATAATATCAGTCAGATTTGTAGACATTTAAAATGACATCCAAATTATACTCCAATCACTAATGCAAAACAGGAGGGGGTTGATGGATGTTATGGTCAAGTTCAATATGAATTTGATAGAATATGCAAACAAAATGTGTCAGCTGTGGCTGGAAACTAAGATGCCAAAGCTGGAAATAGTAAAGCAGAAAATGTAGTTGTACTATATGACCTAGGAAACTGAATGAAACAAAAGAATGACTTATCAGTCATTGCTTACATAGTATTCAAAACACCAACAGAAGAAACCTACCATCAGAATGCATATTGGAAATTTCCAAAAAGGGAAGAGAAGCCCAAGTCAAGAAAGATAAATTTTCCAGAACAAACTTAACAAAGATGTTTATGGAGATTCTCAGTCATCCAGGTCAGGTTATCCCAGAGGTGCTTTTTCAAAAGGTAACTGGATTTTCTTTGTTTTTCCTTGAAGATGTTTTGCTTCTCATCCAGTGGACTGAAGAAGCTTTTTGAATGAAAAAAATAAATGTCTTCAAGGAAAAACAAAGAAAGTCCAGTTACCTTTTGAAAACGCACATTTGGGACAACTTAACAAAGAATTTCAGAGAACCATTCAAAGAGATAAAGAATAGGTTTACAAAGATAATTGGTAAAGATACTGAAGCTGGAAGTAGAAAAATCCAAGGAATACCAAACCAAAATAAACATGTGCTTTTATTTTGCATATAAAAAGGCTCTCACTTATGTCAACTATATTATGCTATGAAATGTGTTTAAAATAAATAGGAACCTCAGAATATCTCATTGCTCTCATAAAAAAACCCTATACATAACACAGTCCAGACATAATATGATGAAACAAACTGTTTTTGTGTTGGCAAAGGAGTAATACAGGGTTATTTACTTTCTTTGTATTCATTCAATCTAGTATGTTTCACATATAATGAGGTAGGTTAGATTTTACAATGTGATTTTAAAACCGGAGAAAGAAATCTCCCAAACCCGCCCTATGCTGATGACATTACTGATAGGTTAAAATGTAAATGATCTACAATGAAAGTCAACAAGTACACTGAAAGACATGAGAATAATAAAACTAATGAGAACAGCTCGAGTAACTAGTGCTAAAACTGATAATGAGAATAATGAAGTAGTAGTTTCTGCCTTTTAGGATTGACTTATCAAGAGTGCTGGAAGCAGTGGTTAAGAAATATTCCAAGACTAGCAATGGTAGGGTAGCAATGAAAACTTTGGAAAAGATATTCAGACATATATCTACAAAGATAACATATGTCATCAGAACCTTGCAAGAAATACCTTTTCTGGTGATGCTCTGTGGAAGTAAAAGTTGGATGGTGAGAAAGCAGGGTAGAAATGACCAGGCTCAATTTATCATTTTGGGGTGCATTATGAAAAGACTGAGATCTTTTGAAGTCCATAATGGTGGTAAAGGTGAAAGGAACAAGAAGACAGATGGCAAGGTGAATTGACTCAGCAAGACCTGCAGAGTTGGAAGCGCTAAAAGGCCAGATTGGAGACCTGGAGAAGATCTATCCATTGCAGTGGTTCTCAACCTGTGGGTCGGGACCCCATTTGGGGTCGAATGACCATTTCACGGAGGTCGCCAAACCATGCTGTCCACCATTTTTTCCCCTTTTCCCTAGCTGTCCTACTCCCTCTTATTGGTGGCCACACCCACTTGGGGGCCACACCCACTTGGGGAACTGTATTATGGGGTCACGGCATTAGAAAGGTTGAGAATCACTGATCCATTGGGTCACAAAGAGTCAACACCAATTGAATGATGCACCTAATCTGCCAATCAATCATAGTATATTGAAAATAAAATCGTTAATTAAAAATAACATATAAAGTCTGGAATAACCTGGATATAAACTATATAATTTTTAATTCTCTCAATAGTTGTATTAAAGAATTTTCTTAGTATTCAGATTGATCGGAAAATGTTATAAATTTTAAGCCATAAATTGTGTCTGCACATTTCTATCATAAGACTTCAAAGGTATTATTTTGGAAAAGCTGGAACCAATTTTAGACACAATTTAGTATATTTTATTTTTCAAACTGTCAGAAAAAGCAGTCTGTTTTACACTGCATGATACATATGTAATGCTATCAATTACAGTCGTATTTCTACAGCATATTCCCCTGTGTTTTATGCAAAAAATAGACCATAAAGTTTGCTATCTGTGTAACAAAAGTAATCATCTGAAATGCTTAAAAATTTGAGAATGGTTTTCAGTAAAATTATTAAGCATTTAATATCTCAAACTGAATCTGGCATGTTTCATATGCTTCATTTGATGTACTTGAAACCTGCATATTGTTTTATGCTAGACGGTGCCAGATAAATATAAATCGATGGTATGTGTCTATGTGTGTGCGTGCACATGCACGCCCCTATGTATTTGTGTGTGCTGTGTATTTAGAATGTAAATATGTAGCATTTATATCAGAACAGACAACTGTGCTTCTCTAATTTGCCATTATTTTATAATATTACGTTAAAAAAACAGATTTAGGCAAAATAATGAATCTTTATAAACATAATTAATTCTACAGATCATCTATATCAGTGGTTCTCAACCTGTGGGTCAGGACCCCATTTGGAGTCGAACAACCATTTCACGCGGGTCGCCAAACAACGCAGTCCGCCATTTTTTCCCCCTTTTCCTTAGCTGTGCTACTCCCTTTTATTCTATTGGCTTTTGAAAGCCAATAGAATAGACTCTCTTGAATAGAGTCTAATTCTATTGCTTTCAAAAGCCAATAGGAATTGTCCAGGCTGTCTCTGCCCTGCTGAGCCCGCCAAAAGTCCCATTCTGCAAACGGTGCTGCACCAGTTGAGTAGTCCTCGACTTACGACTGGTTGAGTAGTCCTCGACTTACGACCGGTTGGGGGGTCGCAGCATTAAAAAGGTTGAGAACCACTGATCTACATTATGTTGAAAGGCCAATTTTCTTTGCCATTTCTGTATTATCTAACCACATGACAAAACAATGAGGTTTTTTTTAGCATTATTGGAATAGTCAAAAAGTGATCAACACTCCAGCACATAAAGGTGCTGTGAAGAGCCAAGTGTCATTAAAGAAACAGGCATGGAGTTTAAATTCATATTTTTGCTGCAAGTAAATAAATATTTCCCACTCCTTATGATATGTAGCTATTTTTATATTTTACTGGAAAAATCCATTTGAAATATGACTTTTCCAAACAGGTTTCTCCATGCAATACGTCCATTCTACTCAAAAGACTAAAGAAAAACAATGTTGATTGAATTTTTCCTGCTGATAATGGGGTCCCTAAATGTTTTGACAATTTCCTCCTTTAAAATTTATGCTCAGGCCTCTACCTCACACAGGTTCATCCTCAAGCGTTTCCACAACCCCAAGGTTGTCACACTTTACATCAGCTAAGTTTTTATTTGTCATTACATGACGATGATTGTCTTTTTCCTTCTACCTTTCCCAGGAGAAGATTGTAATGAATCCATATGCATAGCCTTACCACCTGGAGAGGCATCCTATTCAACTCCTTATATAAAGAGAAGACCAACAGATTAACTTTTAATTGGAATTTGCATTTGCAATATCATTGCCACCTTTTTCACAAAAATCTGCAAAATACAGAAACGTTTGTAGTGGCCGAGACAATCTTGCACTATTCTGTTACCAATTTGTACTTTTACCAGAAATTCAACAGAAGTAATCCAAGAGAGATTTGTAACGTTCTCTAAAATCTGGTCTTTAATTTTCTTATCCTTGCAATGAATAATTGAAGCAAGAGCTAATCTTTGTATAATAATTACTGAAGTACAGTATGTATGGAGAAAGATCTAAACTGGTAGTACTGTCAATACTATGCAACCTCATCATAACAGCTCATAATTATGAGCAAAGCTGTTGTTTTCCAATCTGGGAATAAATAAGCAGTGTACATCACATTATAAAATACTGAAGAATCTTAGCTGCTAAAATGCATATTAGCAATATGACGCAGCTCATAATTATGAGCAAAGCTATTGTTTTCCAATCTGGGAATAAATAAGCAGTGTACATCACATTATAAAATACTGAAGAATCTTAGCTGCTAAAATGCATATTAGCAATATGACGCAGCAAGTTAATTCTGCAACAACTGTGTGCTCTCAATTACTTTTGGGAATGTATACCGAACTATAGCCCTACAAAAACAGTATGAAAGCAGTCTGCTCACTTACTTAAACACATTTATATAAACAATGTAACAAAAAAACCCAAAAGATATCCATTCACAGAATTCTCTTTTTTTTAAAAAAAAAAAAATCATTATTGGCACCCCTTTATATCAGATTGGCTTGAAATACAGTAGCATCAATTCCTTCGGTCACTGATAGACCGAGATCTTTGCAGCCCTTGGCAAGCAAAGCTTTTCTCCCTTTCTGCCAAACTGAGCTCCTGAACAAAGAACTTGCCTAACCATTTCTAAACCAACACGTCCATTAAATCGTCCACCCAAGGCTGACTTCCTTCCCACTTGGAATCAGACTGATGCTGAAGTACTAGGTGCAGGATTCATCAAATGAACATATCATCACAGATATTGGTCAGTTTGCATTTCCCTCTTTGGTAATTGCTCAGTTTTTGTTAAAATATATATTTGTTTTGTTGATTTTTTAAATCCTTTCTGATGAACTTGCTATAGTGAAACCCTATAGGCCTCCTTGTTCTGAAAAAAAATATTCTTAAGAATGCAAATGATACAATATAAGTACGATATAAAACAATATTATTTAGTTTTTGAATAATTTATATTTAAAGTTTAAGATATTATTTAGAAGTATAATTAGAAGTATAATTATTATTACCTTTTTTCTTTTTTTTCTTCTTCTTGTTCCTTTTTTTCTTCCTCTTTCTGTTTTCTATATATATTGGTGTTAAAGTATTTTATAATTTGTTTAATGACTATAATCAAATTTGTTTATGGTTTATTGGTGTTTAAATTTTTTCTTTTAAGTTTTAATTAAGCCTGTATTCAGCTCTGGGAAGATTGGGGGAGGGTATTGGGGTGGGTTGGGAGGGTTTGGGGAAGGGAATTTTATTGTAAAATCTTAAATTTTTTTAATAATAATAATAAAAAAAAGAATGCAAATGATGAATGACGTCAAATTTTATGCCACATTTTATTTTAAAAGAAACTTATTTCAATTTTTTGATGTTTTAACAACTGGAAATGGAGCTGATATAGTTCTTTTGTCTTGAACTTTGTTTTATTTACTGAGTTGAGTATACTCTCTCATCTAACGCTCATGGAAATCAAAAGAACTCTTGAAAAATCAAATTTGTCCTTCTACATATGCGTAAGACATGGCAGGGACTAGTCTTAAAAAGCCCTCTCTCATATAGAAATGATTAAAAGGTAGCACCCATCAAATTCCTAAAGGTTATCTCTGAAACCCAATTAAAAAAAAACTTGTGCAGGATTTTGCCAAAACCTCAGCATTTTGAAAAGGACTTGCCTATGGCTTGATGATGCCTGACATAAAAGCTACTATATGAAGAGATGAATTTAGGATCTATGTTTGGTTCAATTAATCACCCTGAGCCTCTATTCAGTTTCATAAGTAATGCTTATAGTATTGGATTCACAATACACAATCAACCATTTCTATTTAATGCCAATGTTCTGTTAATAAACATTGTTAGTTACTGCTTAGGAATTAAAGGCTGAATACAATAAACCTGAAGAAATCTGGTATAAAATTTAGAAGCAGCATCTCTCAGGCATGTCTCTTTTCTATGGAACCATAATTACAAAACTACATCTAACTGAATTTAAGGCCCCTTTCTTGTCTACACCTTACAAAACATTCACCTTTAAAGCTACTATTCTGAAATTACAATAAAACATTCATCAGGATAATCATTGGAATCAAAATTTGAGTAGTAAGCTAAATTACACAGCCAGACACTTTATACTGGAAAAATTAAAACAGATTAAATGTTTTAACTTTTTCATACTGACATTCTACAAAAACAATCTCCGAAACTAGTGTTATCCTAATCTCTGCTAACTAAACTGAAACTTGTTTCCAATCATAAAATGCTAAGTATTTTCCTAAAATAGATTAGACAAATGCATTGGGCATATTCACAAGTTTGAGAGCATATTATGTTAGTTTCACATTTGATCTTTTAAAAATAAGAAATCTTTAAAAAAAAAGTCAGATTTGTTAGAAAGCCTATAGCTACTCAGGGAGGTAATCATTGCCATAATAGTACCATTGTATCAAACCCGTTTTAACATAATTGACTGCAAGGATTTCATTCAAAATTTTTGATTCTCAGACAGGTGCATATGGCCCATTAGAAATAATGTTGGACACTGAAAAATTGACTTGGAAGATTTGCAGTCATTACAATTATTCTTCATTTCTTAGTTTAAGGTGCTCAAAAAAAGGCAATTGTTATTAATATCTTACACTGGCCAATGTAAACAAGGATATTTATCTTAAATTAACAAAGCAGAAATAATTCAGCAGTTTCTGACTAATAGATTGCAGACTTTTTCTATATGCTATTGATTTGTCCTAAAAAAAAAAATAGTGTGAAGCTAATTTGAAGATTGTGCTGTAGCATAATGGAAGAAATCAGGGGCAAAAGAAATGGGTAAGGAGGGAACAATAGGAAACCCAGGGCCTATGATATAAAAGAAGTATCTTATAAATTAGCAAATATGCCTTATAATGAGAATTCCTGAGCCATTTTGTCTTACAATACAAAGCAACTGTTTGATGATTTTTAGAGCTCCGTACCATGAGCGTTCAGTTTAGGACAGGGGTCTGCAAACTTGGCCCTTTTATGACTTGTGGACTTCAACTCCCAGAATTCCTTAGCCAGGCACACTGGCTGAGGAATTCTGGAAGTTGAAGTCCACAAGTCATAAAAGGGCCAAGTTTGAAGACCCCTGGTTTAGGAAAATGACCAATGATCTCCTACACCTAAGTCAACATTTACCATATATGAATCAACAACTTCTTAATACCACTGACCAGAGAAAGTTCAAAAACAGCCAACTCGGTAATTGTTGAAAGTACCAAAAAATGAAAAAAAAAATCCTCTAGCTGGAATAATTTATAATATGCTCAATAGTAATGAAACAAGAAGAAGCCAAGATTGAAGGGAAAGGTATTCAAATAATCTGCTTCTCTGAAGTATGCTAACCATATTGAAATTAATGAAGACAAGAATCAGCAATCTATAATATTAACTACGGAATCTATATTAATTGTGCAAAATAAACTATTAAATCTATCTTAACTTATAATTTTCAGCCTATTTAAAATAAAGCCCTATACATTTTCAAAGGCATTTACTTCCCAGAAAGTTCACTGAAACCCGTGGAACTATTATCCACTGAAATGTGTTCAGGATCAAGTCTTCTGAGGTGAATATGAAACGAAACCAAACCAAACCTCTATATATTATACAATTGCTCAGTGTTATACCTACTGCTTTCTCTATTTAAAAAAAAAAAGAGAGAGAAAAATGCTTATTTTACACATCTTGTACCAGCAACATTAGTATCCAGAAAAACACAATTTCATAATTTAGGAGGTTCAGCTGCTATATCCTTTGCAGAAAACCTAACATTTCATACTTAAAACATCATTACAAAATTTACGTCACCCTGTGTAAGTTTATTTTTTTTTCCTGGAATGTGAAGAGTTTAAACAGGCAGTCTGAAAACTTGTGGCCATAAAAGCATTAAATGTCATCCAAGTTGATAAATTCCCTTATGGAGATGTCAGTGAATGGTAGAATAGCAGTTTTGCACTCAGACCATTTTGTATGAAGTAGCTTCATTCTGTGCAACTTACTGCCAAATTGCACTAATTCCTCTAAAAAAAAAAATCTAGTAGAAATTGCTACGGAACGACTGCCAGTTTCAGATCTACACAAGAAAGTTCCTTCATATTAAAAACATGCTGAAAATGTTAATCCCTTAACTTACAAAACACAAAGGTTTGTGCAAAGTGTCTATGTATAGAGGAGACCCAGAATGAAGAAGGGAAGGTATGCTCTAAATTCCAGTAACAATTAGAGAAATTGTATGATCAGCAGCTACAGCCCCACCCTTCTACCACATCCTTGCTGTCAAGTTTGATGCTGTCAGTATTTTTCTCACTGAACATGGGGCCTCCATGTCTCATCATTAGCTCTGTGGCCATCTTCACAAAAGCTTCCTCCACGTTATTGGAGTCCTTTGCAGAAGTCTCTATGGCACAGCTGATATCGTACTGTTCCGCCAGACTCTGAGCCTCTTCTAGCTGAACCTCCCGAAGGTCACTTAGGTCAGACTTGTTTCCTAGCAGAAAATATAATTGTTGAGAAGATTATTTTTTTAATATTATTCTGGAGATTAGGGGAAATGTTCGGTTGGGGGGGCCTAGGGAAAAAGACAATGGCAGGGATAGGTAAAACTGTTGAAGGACCTCAAAAGTGATGCAAATAATCAGCCTAGAGATCAGATAACTACCGCTGCCTTGGAGATGACAAAAACAGGTAGCAGTCAAAACTAACAAAATAGCAGGTTAAAGAGATGAAAATATAAAATAAATAAATAGATAAATCTGAGCCACTGTAAAGTATAACATTAATTTTTGGGGAATATTGGATTTATAATTCTATCCCACTTTGATGTTGACAAACCCTGCATTTCAACATAATACTTCAAGCTCAAGAAATGAGCTTTATACCCCTTCTAACCTAGACATTCCTGTCTTAACAGGATATTACTTATTTTGTATTTAGTTATCTCTGGAAGTAATGACAATGAATTTTTTATATTACATTTGTTCACTTTCTGACAGTCGTTACATCAGAAACCTGCCCAGAAGGGACAGAGATATCCAACAGATGAAAAAGTTCAAATTTAATTTAAAGAATCCGATATCGGTTGCATACTAGCCAAGAGGATCTCATTCTGAATAATCTGAATGCCAATATCATGCATTTTTTTCAACATCTTAATACCCTATAGGACAACATGGCATAAGCGTGGAACACATCCCAACAGATAGGAAAACACAGGCTTACTTGTGGCTTGACTTGTTCAAAATATACTGTTAAATAAGGATCCTTACAGCATGGAATACTGAGACAACCATAAAAGGCTGAAGAAAACAAAGTAAACTGTAGAGGAGCTTGAAAGTAATTTTTCCTGCTTCATCAATTATTATGCGGTAATTCAACCCAATCCAAAATGAGGAAGACATGTTTTTATTTTTTGAAACGAAGAAATGCCTTTGCAGAAGTTGCTATTGTGTCCTAATGCATAGGCATAATTCTTTTTGTTTCTGGCTTACCAAATAGACCTTTCCACACTCACCGATCAGCAACTGTACTATATTGGAGCCTGCATATTTCCTCACATCCTCGATCCAGCGAGGAATGGATTGGAAAGAGCCTCTCTTACTAATGTCATAGGCTAGAATAGCTCCATTGGCGCTTCGATAGTAACTCTGGGTTATAGTCCGAAACCTTTCTTGACCAGCCGTGTCCCAGATCTGTAACTAAAGGAAGTAAAAAAGAAGGAAGTCAGTAAGTTCTTCAATCACAAGTTGCTGATTGTACTTATCAGATGATCTTTTCTTATGCATATTGATTGAAAAAAAATCTAAACACAGCGCAAAATAAGTTCACACCCAGTTGAATTACATTATCACTGGATAGCCATAGCCAATATGCCCAATCCATTTGGCAAAGGAAAGTGTAGCAGCAAGTTTAAGAGGGCAATGGTGAATAAGCAGCCATGACTTTCCAACATTACTGACTACCACAATGCAGGAAGGCTAGGGCAATTATAACTGTGATGTACAGAGAGCTGACCTCTGACACACAAGTGCAGTTGTATTTCTTTTTTATATATCACAGAGCTGCTCTTCACAGCTGCAGTACTATTAGAATGCCTGGAAGATACATTTGGTTTCAAAGTTGCCATGTTATGTGTGCACTCCCACAAGCTCTGAAGCACCCCATACCCCTGAAATATACTTTATTCAAGCCATGAATAAAAAGGGCTTAAAAACACTTAAACAAAGGTATTGCTTTAGATTTTTGTAAGATTTACTTTAGGACTGGCCTTGGAAAACACTGCCTTGTGTTTGTATGAACTGAGTGAAATATTTCGACAATGCGGATTGTGTTGAAATAGAATAGGAATCAAGATTAGCAGTAATATGTTTGCCACTAGAGATACTGGATTTGTTATAGCTTGATTTGTATTTTATTGGATTATTATTTCTATTATATTATTAACTTATCTGTATACTATCTAGAGCCTCTGGAATGAATAGTTTATAAAAATAATAAAGCAAATAATAACAACAATAATGATGATGTTGGAAGGGACCTTGGAAGTCATCTAGTCCAACCCCCTGCTCAGGCAAGAAACCCTATATCATTTCAGACAAATGGCTGTCCAGTCTCTTCTTAAAAACTTCCAGTGTTGGAGCATTCACCGCTTCTGGAGGGAGGTTGTTCCACTGGTTAATTGTTCTAACTGTTAGAACTCTAACAGTTAATTGTTCTAACTCCTTATTTCTAGGTTGCTTCTCTCCTTGATTAGTTTCCATCCGTTGGAGACTGTACACATTGATAACCAGTTACATTTAAAGTCTTGCTTAACATTCTTATTAACAACAGCCCATGTAATTATGAATGAGCATAGGTAGTCTTTATTTACTGACTGCAATTGGGACAGTGAAGTTAGCTGTGAGGCAGTCAAACTGCAATCATGTGAACACAGGATACTGTGATGATCACAGATGTCTACTATTTGCGAAGTGCCCAAATGTCATTCACGTGACTAGAGGGATGTTATGATAACCATAAATGTGAGGACTGGTAGTAAAGTTACTTTTTAAGCACCTTTGGAACTTCAAATGGTCATTAAATGCAGTTGTTAAGCAAGATGTACCTGTATACAGACTTGGAAATACCTTAGTTCTGCCAGAAAACAGAATTCGTGAGACTAGAAAAAGTTCAGTCAGATCTTCCAACTTTGCGAGTTCTTTTTTTTTTTTCACGAGAAGTTGGAAGGTCTGAGCTGGGCAATGGTGCACCAAGCTCTATAGCAGCACTGAGAGGAGAAGCGGCAGGAAACAGGGCTGCCATTTTGAGAACGGAGAAGGGAAATGCGGGGTGATAATTCAAAAGCAGAATTCCAAAAGATGAACTTTCCTTCAAAATATATATTCAAGCAGATGTCATGGATATTTCAGTTTGGATTCCTGTTCAGAATAAGGATGGATTCAATAGTTTAAGTGAACCTTTTTAACACTGAGCCTTTCAATATTTTGTTATTAAATCAGCATATTTAAAGGCTACTTCCTTTTAAATATATATTTAATATCTATATATCTTATTACAACATTAGGACAGGAATCAAAGAGAGTTAAGCAATAACTAATTATAAGATATTGCACACATTGTCTTTGGAAAATTTCTTGATTACTTTCAAAAGGCCTGGAAAAGCTTTCTATTTACTTTCCCGTACTGTGAACAGGTTTATAGCCCTCTTTGGTACACTGTGTTATATAATAAAGGAATTGCACAATGTGTTTGTTCAAGTTGATTAAAATCCTAAAACTCCTTGACACACTGCCAATAACTTTTCCAGGTCAAATTACAAAATCCTATGAGATACCTTAGTTCCTCCCCTTTATTTATGTAAATGAGATGTTGTTGATCCAGATGACAATTATTTTAAATATAAGTGTACATTGAATTCATGTTCTCTATAATAACACACGTTTATTGTACTGAGGGCAAATGCTAATACTTTCCTGAAGTGTGCCATTTTAATAAAATCTACCCTTAATAATGAAGGGGGTATATTTAGTGCAGTGATTCTCAACCTTTTTAATGCCGCGACCCCAACCGGTCGTAAGTCGAGGACTACTCAACCGGTTGTAAGTCGAGCACTACTCAACTGGTGCAGCACCATTTGCAGAATGGGACTTTTGGCGGGCTCAGCAGGGCAGAGACAGCCTGGACAATTCCTGTTGGCTTTTGAAAGCCAATAGAATTAGACTCTATTCTATTGGCTTTCAAAAGCCAATAGAATAAAAGGGAGTAGCACAGCTAAGGAAAAGGGGAAAAAATGGCGGACTGCGTTGTTTGGCGACCCCCGTGAAATGGTCGTTCGACCCCAAATGGGGTCCCGACCCACAGGTTGAGAACCACTGATTTAATGTATTCAGATCTAGATGTCTACAATATATACATACCTATAGATATGAAAAAAGGAAGATTTTTTAAAAAATCCAAATTAGCCTGATTTAAAATATTACAAAAAAACTGCCCACCCCCCCATCCCAGTTAATTTTATAGTGCTCCACAGAGCTGGAATGATATACGGTTTCCTGCCCAAGCATGGGGTTGGATTTGAAGACTTCCGAGGTCCCTTCTAACTTTGTTATTCTGTTCTGGAATCATACTTAAACCAGACTGCCCACTTATGCTTTAGCACACAAGCAGGATATTCACATGAGTTACAGGCCATGTCATGACAAAACTACTCACACAGGGATTACAACCTAATTTCTATACAATACCAACCAAATCTTAAAACTTAGGAGATGTGATGCCATCTCCTAAGTAAGTAAAGAAGTTTGTCTCAAAGTTTGTTGTAAGTTTTTATGCTCCAAACCAAGTTCATGAACTATGTATCGACATACTCAAATTACAAAAGAACTAGTAATGTCATATTAATTTCAAACATTACCAAAAAGTTCCTTGGGGAGTTTTATTTTAATAGGTCTGGAAGGTTCTCCAAGAAGCTTAGAGGCTTTTCAAACATTGTTGAGCACCTCCAGAAAGGCAAAGAATATTTAGGCTTTTTTTTTTTTTTTACATGCTGTACCTGATGCTTTTACCTTCTGAACTTAGCAAAAGGGGGGAGGGGACTGAGGGTGGAAGGCAAATTCTACTTCTTTTCATTTTTCAAAAAGGTATCCGAGCGGCAACCATGTAAGCACAAACTCTTCGGCAAATTCTGGCTTGGCGATGAATTCTCGGCCCAGCCACGGATGTCAGCAGATCGACTGGTAAAGACGCTGGGCGCCCTTCGGTCTCCCGGGAAAAGGACGTTGCCATGCCAGCTTCTTCTCCCCCGACCGTAGCTGTTGTTCTGTCTGCACACCTGTTACCTGCCCGGCCCGCGCCTCGAAGGGAGATAAGACGGGACTGCCGCGAGGCTCCTCCCCTCCCTCGCCCCCCGCTGCCCACCTTGACCCGCTTGCCCTGGATCTCCAGGCTCTTCATGGTGAAGTCCACGCCGATGGTGTTGCCCTGGCGCTCAGAGAAGGCCCCGGTCTTGAAGCGCTGCACCAGGCACGTCTTGCCCACGCTGGCATCGCCGATCAGCACCAGCTTGAAGAGGAAGTCGTAGTGCTCCTCTGGGTCCGGCCCGGGCGGCGCCGACGGGGAGCTGGGCATGACCGCGGCGCTGCTCCCACGGCTGCCCGCCGCAGGTCCCCTCGCTCCCGTTTGGCAGCCGCAGCGCCGGCCTCAGCATCCTTCCCCGCCTGCCTTCCCCTACCAGGCCGAGGCAGTGGGCATGCGCGGCGGGAGCCTGCGTCCTTCCTTCCTCCCCCCCCACCCGCCCCCCCACGAGCCAGGCGTCGAGGGTGGGGCAAAGGAGCAGGGCAGGATTCCCCTGGCGCTTAGTGGGAGGGCTTAGTGGAGGAAAGACTTGCCCCTGGCTAGAGGCTGAGCTCGCCCATTACGATGGCCGGATTTCCGTGTTACGTTATCTCTCTGTGGTCGCCCAGAGCAGGAAGCGCGGCTAGAGAAACTCCCTACGCTCACCTGCGTGGTGTAGGCAGTGCACCTTGACCCTTGAATGGCTAAATTCCCTAGAATTGGACGTAATGCTTGTTTTACATGCAATGGTTTACCTGTTGCACACTTTGAACAGTAACGGTTGCCAGAAGAATAGCCGAAGTAAACAAAACTGAGTTCCTTGGAGGCAAAGATAAATATATTTGTCTTTAGGGTGCGGCAAAACAAATTATGTAATCAGTCATAGTGAGGGTGGCCAGTCCAACATGTGTAAAAACTGATGATAAAATAAGTTCTAATACTCTGGATGAGCTCCCTGCAGCACTTGCGGAAGTGAGGAAACGTGCAACCCTGCAACTAATTATTAGATTCACTTAGTCATTTATAATCGATCTTTATTTGCAGTTTTGGAATAAATAAGGAGCACATGCTTTATACAAGCTGTCCCTTTGCGTACAGGGAATACAATAATGCTGAATGCATTTGCGTATTAGTTTTCAGTCATTTTTAGCGAAGCTCTGATACAAAGGTTAGCATTCCACAGGACAGGAGGAACAGGTGGCTGGTTTAGAATGTAAAATATTTTCCAGAGTCACTTGAGTCCTGAGCCAAAATTTGTACCAGAGCTATAAATTTCACAAATTGGAAAAATGTTACATGGTAATATCTGTATTTCTCTATATGCCTCTCCATCACTAAGATGGATAGTTCAATAATTTTATCTTTCTTTACAAGTATGTTTGTTTCCAAAGCTTTAATAAGGGAGTTCGAAGCTAATCCTCTGCAGGCTTGTTGACACTATCAAGGCCTGTGTCTGAGGTTAGACTCTACCTTTGTAAAAGTGTAGTACAGGAGTGGCTAAGACTTGTGGAGTTCAACTCCCATAATTCCCCAATCAGCATTCTGGGAGTTGATCCACAAAACCTTAAGTTGCCAAGGTTGGACAACCCTGGTCTAGTAGTAGTTTCTTCCAGCTTCTCACAGGAGATGCCTGTTGCTTCAGGTTGGTCAGCTGTTCTTTCTGTCACAGATAGGACCTTTGCTAGCATCACAAGATCTGTACTCTATTTGTATTGTATGCTGCTATTGTTTATTGGAGTGCACTCTTCCTCCTCTCAGTATGGAAAACCAGATATGTGTGTCTGTGTATCTGCCTATTTACATATATATGTGCGAATGGCCATATTTGGACTACAAAACTCTGGACTACCACTAGAAAGCAGCCAGGACTTTTCTGTATCTCTTGCATAGCTCTAGTAATAGTTTGGATTTTGAGTGCAAATACAGTATCCATGAGCTTTGAACTTGATTAAAATTTGATTAAAATACTAATTTCAGAAACAGTGCCTAGCCAAGAATGCAAAGTTATCAATAAAAGGGAAAAATACTGATTCCGCTATACAGTGTATTGTGCTGCAAATTATCTTACATTTTCCTTGTAAAATGACAATATCCAAATCTCAAAGCCACATTACTCAACAAGAAATACATCTATGGCTGCCAACCTTTCTTGAGTGGAAAGTTAGGTGTATTTTTTTCTTGTCAGTTTTTATAGGATTATTCTTCAAATTAATCATTATTAATTAAAACAAATTTGCAGTTTTCCCTGGTGTGAACATTTGCCACTATTGTTTATTACAAATGTTTTGCAGTTAACTCTAAAAGTAAACCTGAAGTATAGCTGTAGACATTAATAAATACGTTCACACATTCCATTCAGTGCATGTACCATTTATATGGCCATATAATTATGCCGGTTCCATGCACAGTGTTCATTTTATGCATACTGTCAATAAACTATTGACTTGTATGTTATGTAAGATTAGTGATTACAAATGTATAAGCTCTCTTCAAGCTTTATAAAATTGACATAAGAAAAACAATGGGCTTGGGCGTGGCTTCTCAATCCTTGAGAGTTTGGTTAGTATGATTTGTAATACTGTAGTTGAATGAAATGAAAACCGTCCAAGGAATTGTGATCTTAATAATATATGAACATCTCCAAAGGAAAGTCAGAAATGGGTATGTGAGTGTGTAAAATCTAGATCAGTGATGGCAAACCTTTTAGAGACCGAGTGCTCAAACTGCAACCCAAAACCTACTTATGCCTCGTTGGGTGCTGGGTGGGTGTGGCCAATTGGAAGGGCATGGCTCATTGGGTGGGCGTGGCTGCAGTGGTAACAGCAGACTGGGTGGGACTAAAAAGTTCAATCAATTCCAACTCCGCAAGATCTTTTTTTTCCCGCGAGAAGTTGAAATTGACTGATTGATTGAACCTTTTTTTTTTTGCACACGGCAGCAGAGGCCTAAAGCGAAAAGGTTTTATAAAACCCAGCTGAAGGCCTAGGACTGGGGCAATGGCTCGCATGCCCACAGAGACTTGTGCCATAGGTTCGCCACCACTGATCTAGACCATCTGCTCTATATATTTAAAATATGGATTAGGGACTATTTAACATTCTAAAATGTTAAGTATTGAATGAAAATAGGAATGAGTACAGTATGTATATTTATATTGGGATTTTGAAGTAATAGCCAATATCCTTTTGATTACTGAAGACATACCTGTATTTGACAGAATATTGTGATTTTTGTATTGCAGCTACAGTTCCCAAAGGGCTGATAAATGTTGCCTTTTAGACTTCATATTTTATATACACAGAATTTGTCATTCTCTGGAGAATATGCAAAAAAATGCCCATATTTCCTGAAGTATTTCATTTTCAAATATTAAGTGCTTTGAGCCTATATTTTAAAAAGGACTTAAAATACAAAAGAAAATGAAGCACAGTTAAATGGATTTTAGTTGGATTGAAAAAAATATATTGAAAACCAGTAGATCATTAGTTTTATCTTTTTGAATAAAGCAGACCTATATGCCTCTCTGTGACCTCATCATAACATTTAATAGGGTTGTATTGTACTAATAAATGAAGTATTCTATAATTTAACTAAGATTTTTCTCCCAAGCAGTGCAGTCTGTTGCCTTTCTTTATTTCCCTGAAGCCTTGCCAAGCATATTAATTTTTCCTCATCCATTATCTGCCTGTATCACATACCCCAAAGATGTGAATTTCTGATTGCTGATTATTGTCTCAAGGGAGCAGTTTTATTTAGTTTAGGGCTGATTGATTTTTTCCCCTTTCTATCTATTAGTATTAGCATTCTATCTATTAACTATTAGCATTCCTAATGGCTGTCCCCAAATTTATAATTTGAACACATGTATCTTCTGTCTCTCACTCTTACTCAATATCCAAGTTTTACAGCCATTGCTTTAACTGGAAAGTCCATTGGCTTAATTCTTCTTCCTTTTTTTTTTTGATCATTGAAATGCCATTCTACTTAAACTCTAAATTAATCACAGGCATTTTTCATCTTTCTCAACTCCAGCAGTTATTTTCACCCAGTGAAAAGAAATAATATACTCCTCCTTTACCTTATATTGCATTGCCCCTGTCAAGAGCACAGCTGTGGTATGATAGTCGCATGACTATGTAGTTAAGTGAAAAGAGAAGTGTTTTTCAGTCCTAGTGATTTAAGGCACCATTTTCTGAACTATATTTTCTAAATATGATTGGCATATATTATTTTTCCAGATGCATTGCCACATGGCATTGTTTTAATTTGCATTATGTTATGTGGTTTATATTGTATGCTGTCCAGAATCAAGAAGGAGTTGGGAAGCCAATAAATTTAACTTATAATTATAGTCAAAGAAGGCCTGGAACTGTTTTGGTTACTTGATTAGGGAGTTCTGTTTTGCATATGTTAATCCATCTTTGTTTTATTTCACACTCTTCAGGATTAAGCCCTGGTTTTGATAGTACATTGAAACATTTATTCTTGGCACAAATTAAACTGCAGTTGGCCTAGTAGTATAATTTGCTAAACTAAGGAATCTGTCTCAGGTAAAACACTGAACTATTAAGCAATTAATTTAATATCATTGTATTTTATTGCAGTGAGAAGTACTAATAAGACTATTAGATTCTGAAGCAAAAAAACAAAAACAAAAAAATTGACTTACTATTGCAGGACTGAGTGACTGCCACTCTAATTGTGTAGAAGCATTTAATGAAAAAGTTGAGCTTTAGTACAGAGAGTTGATCCATCATTGATTTGTTATGAAAGTATACCATAAATAATAACATGTATCTCCTATTTGGAATAGATTGTTCATCAAAGTTCTTACCCTAACATCTTGTATTGTTGCTATAGTTTTTCAATAAAATAAGTGTCAGATACTAATAACAGATTTCCTGAAAATGATGTTCTCAATTATTTTTATGCTTTCTCTCATTTGTTGTTTCACAAAATGAGGGAACGAGATTCTTTTAGTTCTAAAAGCGCATAGTGTATTTCTATAATATACATTTTGTGAGCAGCTGTTTTAAAATGTATGAATGCTAAACAGTTTTCATATTTTTATGTAAAGTGGTGTTGCCAGCTGGGAGACAGAAACAAAACTTTTGACAAGTAAGCTCTGCTGTGGATTTGTTTATCTGTTTTTGCATTTATATAGTTCTCTGGGTTAATATAGCTCTCCTTTGCAGGTGCAAAAAGCTACATGAGTAACTATATAAGAAGCTATGCAATTTGAGCACAATACTATAATTTGCATGTATAATAAAATAGAGCTGAAACAAAAAAAAATGTTGCCTTCTCTAAGCCATTAGTTACCCTGTATTACTGTATATGTTAACTATCCATTGTGGCTTTTTAAAAGTTCTTTTTGGACTAACTTTAGAAAATGTCTAAAATAATTAATAAAAAAAACATAAT